TTTAGTCAGATCAACACATATTCTGATTGTCTCTGAAGATTTTGGGACGACCACCATACCAGCACACCAGTCGGTAGGACAGTCCACCTTAGATATGACACCACTGCTTTCCATTGCTTGGAGCTCCTGTTTCACTTTCTTCATGAGAGGTAGAGGCACACGTCTGGGTGTTGAGATAGAGAAAGGCTAAGCATCCTCTTTGAGCTTCGTAGAATATTCACCTTCCATATTTCCTAGCCCAGTGAATAGTTCAGGAAACATGTCTTTCCACTTGTCCCCAACAACACTATCAATGCGGCTGACAAGGTTGAGAGCTTGAATTGCGGGTCTACCCAGCAGAGAACGAGTAAGACCTCTAGCGACATATATGTCCTGCTCAGTCACAACATCACAGTACACAGTTTTAAGTTTTGCTCTGAATTTTCCAACAATATACAAACTTGTGTCAGCTGGACCATACAATCTCTTGCCAATTTGCTGTAGTTTTGGAAAAGGCTTAGACAACTAGTCATGAGTTGACCTCAAGATTTACAAGCCAAGGCTCTGATGGATCGGAGCATGCACTATCAGCACAAATGGATCCAAGGATCCTCCTCGTTGGTACTGTTAGGCTCTCGTTCGAGACAAATCTCAGAAAGACCCCCCCCACTGAGTTTGACTCCTGCATACTTCATCCCAGTGTCCAACTTTCCGACATTTCCGACAGGTTGATCTGGTTGCAGGACATTCTGCTCTTGGGTGTGAATCTCTACCACGGTATGAACATGTGGGTTTTGGCTTTGCATTGTTAAAAAATGGACGAGGTGAAGTCTTGGGCTTAGTTTTGCCACGGGGTTTCTTGCCTTTACCTTTAGGAGTGATAAGTTCTTCAACTCTCGAATTTCCACTTGCTGTACTGGAAGACACATTGCCTCGAATCACAGGTTGCTGCTTGTGGATAATTTCAGATTGTCTGGTACTTGTGACAGCTTTCTGTAATGTTAATTCAGAGTCATGCTGAAGTTTTTCTGATAATTTGAGGCCTCGGATTCCAACGACAATTCCGTCTCGAATCATCTCATTATGAAGTGCACCATGATTACAGTTTTCTGCAAGAGAATAGAGATCCGTGATGAAGCTGTCAACTGGTTCACCGTCTCTCTGTACATGCTGGTTAAATTAAGCTCGCTCAAATATGACATTGCGGCGAACGGAAAAGTACTGATCAAACTTAGCTTTGCCTATAGTATAGCTCTTCTGTTCCTCTTCAGAGAGAGAGTGAAAGTCGGCAAAATGTCATCAGATTCTGCTCCCATCATACATATGAGCTGATTTACTTGGGTTTCTTGGTCTTTTGTAGCAAGCTTGGAGGTGATGCGATACCGCTCAATTCGAAGGATCCATCTTGTCCATCTCTCTGGGTTAGAGACATCAAATTGCTCAGGAGGAGATATTTGCAAGCTTGCCATGACAAAAACTTTCTTCTGACACCATGTGGTGATATGACAAAGACGTCTTTGTTTGTTATCTGTGTTTAATCACTGTACGTGTATCTGTGTACGAGAGTGTGCCTGATGCCATGTGCTTGCAGCCAGCAGCATGCTCGTGAGGGTTATCTCCCCTATCCTGGCTGATGCCCATTTAACATGTTTAAGGATGGGGCCCATTTAGGGCCTAGCTAATACCACAGATCTATGCTCAACTTGTGTCCAGAAGAGACATTTTCACTGGTGTGAGCAAGAGACATTTTGTGCTAAGTTAGAGATAACACAGACCTATATAAGTCTGTGGTGATAAGAGAGATTGAACTGCCACAACAAAGCCATAAGGGTGAATGGTCCTGGGTATTGATCATCATAGAATGGAGGTACAATGCTTTAAAATGAGGTGAGTGGTACGTGCTGATAAACTTTATTGATGCTCCATTATGAACAGCATATCCTTTTGAATAACATGGCTACACCATGTAAACATGGTAAGCAATGACATATCTATTGTCATGTTCTGAAAAAAATGTTCTGTGATGCCATGATACATCAAGGATGACTATGTCCCCTCAAAATTGTACAAATGAAGCACTTGATGGCCACCCGAAGGAAGGATCAGTTGCAGGCTTTTACACAAATGTACTCATGGTATATATAGAATGGACGCAGAAAACAACAACATTGCACCCCAGGGGATGCACCTAATATATTACATTTAATTGTACCCAACTCTTGACACAGTTCCTGTAATTAAAGTAATTATCATATCTTACACTACACCTCATGATTTCATTACTTTACAGGACCCTCATATTTCCTCGAGGTGCTCTGGAAATAGATTTTGGGGAGTCTCCTGGACCCCTAGATTTGTAGGTCAAGGTAAAACACTGCATTTTTCTTTCCAGGTTAAGTTTTTGGCGTTTTTAATATGATGTAATATGATTACATCTCAATTATGATCAGTAAAATATAAATACTTACGAGAAAAAATTATGTTGGGATATTTGTTTGAAAGTTTTCATACACAGAAGAGCCTAAATATTTTAAAATACAACTTCAAGGACTCTTACTAAGTAAATTATTTATCTAACAAATAGAAAAAAAAGAATTCATGCCAATTTTCAATATCTATAATAATGATATTAATATTGTAACCTTAAATGACTCACATTTCCCTGGCTACAACCAATGGCTACATCCAGTTTGCTTTATGAATTTCACTGTTTATTTAATTTCAGACCACCTCCGTGGTCTAGTGGTAGAGTGATCACCCGGTGAGCGGAAGGTCAAGGGTTCGATCCCAGGCTGCATCACACCAAAATATGTTAAAAGATAGTACTTGTTCAGAGAAAGAAACTAACAGTTTTAGTCCACTAGTTCTTATAATGATAACATATAGCAAAACCCTGAAAAAGGGCAAATACCTTAACTATTGGACAGTTTGTCAAGGACTACAGGACTAGTGCCAATTTCTAACGCTGCTTAGTGTTAGCCTGCCTGGCACTCGGCATTAAGGGGCCAAAACAAGGGTTGGTCAGCTTGAAGTCAGTATACTGTGTCTGAGTGGGGTATTCAAGTTAAACTGCGTCATGGTATCTCAGTGGCCTAATACTATAAAATCGGCATGAGTCCGGACTAGTACAAGCAACCCCACACACATGCATACATGTGGACACACGTCACTATGTGAGTGCAATAATCTTAAACACAATGTTAAACACCATTTCACCTCACTTCATATAATTTAAAAGGAGAGTCCATTCAAAACCTTAGTCTTATTGTTTTTGTTGGCAATAGATTTCTCAATATGGTAAATATCTTTAATCATCTTTAGAACAGTGACTAATGATAGGGTATTACATTTAATGCAACAAATGTAAATATATCTCTTGCTAAGAAGCATTACCGTATTCGACATAATAAGTGCCCAGGGCGCTCTCAAAATTAGAAATAGGGGGCTTTTATTAGAATATAATTTTGGTGAAAGAGCTGAAAGATCGTAAATTTTATGGTTTCTGTTGACAGCCTGAAATGATACAAAAGAAAAGTATGTGAATATTATACACGAAAGATATATTTTTCCAGAATTGAATTGCCCGTAATTAAGGGACCCGGTGCATATAACACACGAGTGCGTATTATACACGAATAGATGTACACGAATTGTGTACATTGATCAGTCGGAAGGGTGCTAATTGGGATTGTGCACTAGCCAATATATTGGCAAATATCGTCGTGGGCGCTTATTACGTCGAATACGGTATTTGGTGGAGTAGCTTATACCGTGATGCATATCCAAATAAAATAGTTGTAACATCTAAGTTGGTACTAGTTGGTTTGTTGTTTTACACCGCACTCAGCATATTCCAGCTATATGACGGCAGGCTGTAAATAATCGTGTCTGGACCAGACAATCCAGTGATTGACATCATGAACATCGATCAGCGAACCGTTAGTCGCCTTTTACGACAAGCATAGTCGCCTGTTACGGCAAGCATGGGTTGCTGAAGACCTATACCACCCCAGATCTTTGGGGGGGGGGGGGGGGGTCTCATTGGTAACCCAATTTTCTCTCAAATCTCACTACATGTATTGGGGCCCAAGGTTTCTGTTCATGGATGTTTTCAGATCTTTCCACCCATTTATGTCTCTGTGCTGTCTCGTATCTGCTGTCTTTTCTAGATTAACAATAATGATTAATAAGAGCTGTGGCAATATTATGGATAAAATTGATGGATTAACCAAGAGCAAGAATTAGTTCACCTTCAGCACCACCTGGTCAGTGTTACTTGATACTGTGTAGACCACGAGCCTCTATTATTGTAAAACCAAAATGTGGCAGTAATGAGTATCTTTACTATGGTAATCTGTCATATTGTTTGTCTGTGAGGGATGAAATCTCAAATCTTTTTGTTATCTGATCAACCAAGTTCATTTTAGTTGTCTTCTATGGTGGTCGCTAATTATGAGAAACCATATGAAATAAGAACAGTGATCTGACTGGATTTCGTGTTTTCATCACAAGAAGCCTAACCCGTGCTCTACACAGGGTGGTGAAGTTGATCTAAGAGAAGTCAAATTGAAAGGGCAAGAGCGAAAACTTGACTGATATAGCCAAGTAGAATCTCTTGCGTCGGGAAGATGATTGTTCGTTTACTTTGCCTATTTCATGTAGACCAATCCAAACTCATAGTGACAAGGATAATTTGTCATTTGATGCGAAAATATATATGGACTTCAGGTGTGTATGTATCGTAACTGAGTGTGAAATGTCTGTCATGTAAGAGATGTTTCAGAAGCACCATATGAAAACATGTTTTTTGTAAAGCTATCCCATATCAGTGCATATGGTGGAAAGTTGTCTTTATGTTCACATTTGCGTATTTTGTAGAACACGTTGGAGTGAAGGTTTAAGAGGAGGTACACATATGTCCCTGTGGCATCCACAGAGTTAAATACACTCAAACTATTTTGTCATGAGCTACATCATGGCTGATCAGTCATGATTAATTGCTAGGGTTATCACAGTCTCACCTATCTATTGGAATCTGCCGTCTGGGTACATATTTGTGGTTACTTTCATCTCCATTTAATGAGCGTGACATCAAGGCCTCCCTCTCAGTGATATCTGCTACATATTCAGCCATCGTTCAGAATGTTGCTTCAACCTATTTCAAAGTTTGTAAAATCGTAGATCTACCAAATCATTTTCAGGAACTATTAAAAAGATACCGTCTGTTGATCATCATCCCAAAAGATCTCTAGCATCAACTCTGAAACGAGAAAGAGTGATGTGAATAAGTAAAAAGCCCCAAAAGTGTTAACTTTCTATGGCTGTTTGTACAGCTTACATCACGTGCAAATGGTTAGTAATAGAAATGAAAGGTCAATAAGAAGCCTAACTGTCAGTGTCACTGTCGGAATATATGCCAGCTAAAACGTTTTTGTTATTCACAAATTACACTTAAAAGTGAACAAACAGATGGAAACGTTTAAGTCAGTTAGAATAGATCATCATGTGGTGCTCGTTTGCGAAAATATACTTTATTCGAAAAGTATAGGAAATGAAGCGGTGTCACAAATCTATTACCTTACTACACGAACTTTGCTCCATATTTACTTCGCCATATTGATACTCAATCGAAACTCCTCGGGCCTTTCCGCCAGTTTAGAAACTCCGAATGAAACGGGAAGTGGCATAATTTAGCGCATGCGTATCATGTACCACGTGTTGAAACATGGCGGGGTATCCCCTGGATTTCTCGCAGAATGGCGAAATTCTGGTGTATTCTAGCCCAGACGGAGTTCTTAAGCTTTGGGATTCATCAACTGGACAACTAAATAAAGAGTACACACCAAGCTCTCACCTGTCAGCAACATGCAGTTGTCTGTCATGGGGCCCAGGACGGCACTTGTCGGTAATGAATATTTGCCACTTTTCTGAAGATATGCTGTTATATAGTGTTAATCTTTCGATTCTTCGTAGTATATGTGATTTCAAGAAACTGCGTAAATTTGAAACCTCTGTTCGTTGTCGACATTATACATAAAGCGTCATGAATTAAATCTATTCTAAACAATACATGAGTGTATGTAGCGAAATATATATTAGAGCATGTGGAGCAGGGATAACACGTGTTTTTCTGGGTATTACTAATACACGTAAATAACCCCGACAGCCGGCTTGGGTTTCAGAATGTGACCACGATGTAGTGTGCACATGAGAACACCCTAGCACCAGAAATGGGCTTCACACATTGTACCCATGTTGGGAATCGAACCAGGCTCTTCAGCATGACGAGCAAACGCTTGAACCATTAGGCTACCCACCTGACCGCCTATAGAATGATTAAATATGGCAAACACCTTTAAAAGTGCAAATTTCTTGTAGTCCTTGTATCATCTTAACTATTGGGCAGTTTTGCAAGGACTAAGTACAAGTGCTTATTTCTGTGGCAGATGAGTTAATAAGAAACATTCAACTTTGATTTTGTTTGTTGTTTAATGCTGCAATTAGCAATATTCCAGCTATTTGACGTGATCTGTAATTAAACAAGTCTGGACCAGACAATCCTATGATTGACATCAAGCATCGATCCACGCAATTGGGGTACAATGACATGTATCAACCAAGTTAGCGAGCCTGACCACCCTCATCTTCACGGGTCCAACTTTACAGATAACAGCTCCTGGTTAATTGCATTTAGCATCATGTGAAACCTTGCTTGAGTCATGATACATTACATATCGCAATAATCAGTTTGTGCCATTTTTGCATGATATTGTCCAAGTTACATGTTGCCCTGCTGATGAGAGTTTGTTGCTATCATCTGAACCAACCAGTTTGTGTGCCTTACAGGATGTTTTTTTCATGATAGTAAGGTAATGCTAGCCCATGTCATTATCAGGCTGAATTATTGCAAAACATAGTAAATGTCATTTTTGACAAATCAGTACAGCATTGAAATATGAATCAATACATGCAGCGGTAGAAACTAAAACTTTTAGTCCACTAGTCCTTATAATGATAATATATAGCAAAATCCTTAAAAATGGCAAATATCTACTAGTCCTTATGATACCTTAACTATTGGGCAGATTGGCAAGGACTATAGGACTAGTGCCAATTTCTAACCCTGACATGGCTAGGCGTAATAGGTATCATATGACTTGTGATGCACTGGTAAAGCGTGATAACCCTCCATTGTATGATTAACATGCTGAGTTGTTTTTAGGGTACCCCAAAGAGAAAAAGAAGAAAGAAATCAAGTGGAGGAATGGAAGAAATTGGGGATCTTGACCTCATCGCAATTGGTACGACCAATGGAAACATTCTGTTGTACAGTGTTGCCAAAGGAGACATCCATACTCAGTTTGTAAGTAACAAGCAAACACTTTGAACTTTTGTGTTAAATATTTCTAAAACTATTAAAATGTACAGGCACCAGGCATGTTTCTGTAGTAATGTAGGTTATGTATGATAAATGATCAAATTACTCATAACAGTAATTGCCATTTTTCCATTGAAGCCATTCAAACATACTTGCCCTTAATAAACCATACATACCCTTTCCAGACCCTACATGCCCTCCCCACACTCTACATGCCCTTCCCACACCCTACATGCCATTCCCACACCCCCACCCCCACATGCCCTTCCCACACCCTACATGCCCTTTCCACACCCTACATGCCCTTTCCACACCGTACATGCCCTTTCCACACCCTACATGCCCTTTCCACACCCTACATGCCCTTTCCACACCGTACATGCCCTTTCCACACCCTACATGCCCTTTCCACACCGTACATGCCATTCCCACACCCCCGACATGCCATTCCCACACCCCCACATGCCATTCCCACACCCCCACATGCCATTCCCACACCCCCACATGCCCTTTCTTGACCTACATGCTTTTCAAAGGTGCCCTGCCCACCCTACATGCCAATTCTAGACCCTACATGCCATCTCCAGGTTTCCCTGATCCTGACACGATATGTCCCACCACAACACTAAACACCCTTTCCTGGCCCCACCTGTCCTCCTGGCACCTGTACAGATTCAGTGTCTGTATCAGTTGTAAAGGGCTGGAAAACCAACTCATGCCCCAGAACCACCACCCTACTCAACTCCCCATCCCCCGTCCTATTGACACCTGACCAGATTCCATGTCTAGATCAGTTGTACAGGGCAGGGATACCAACTCTGGCCCCTGAACCACCACCCCACTGTAACCCCACCCCCTGTCCTATTGACATCTGACCAGATTCTATGTTTGGATCAGTTGTAAAGGGCAGGGATACCAACTCTGGCCCCTGAACCACCACCCCATTGTAACCCCATCCCCTGTCCTATTGACATCTGACCAGATTCTATGTTTGGATCAGTTGTAAAGGGCAGGGATACCAACTCGGGCTACTGAAACAGATCAGTCACTTTGACCTTCCTGTTCAAATGCTCTGATACAGTTAACATTATCTTGGATATATATAGTCTCTTTGTTTCTGTGTGTGAATTCATCAGAATGTCTTCATGGCTTAATCCGAAATGATTGCTAGGTGTTCAAAACCATAAAAAAAACCTTGTTTTTCACAGGCATAAAATGAAAATGAGAAAGAGATAATCATGATTATTATAAGAATAATTCCAATGTTATGAAACAATGGCTTTGAACTAATGTAACTATCAAATATATTACAAACTGAAGCTCTTGAAATCCAGTCCCAATCAATGCAATATTTTCGTCCATGTTCAACCAAATGTTAATTTCAGGAGGAGGGTCACACAGACACAGTCAACGGTACGTGTTGGCACCCCGAAGCACCAACCTTGTACAGCTGCTCCAGTGATCACAATGTCATAGAGTGGGATGTTGTCACAGGCAAAGTCAAACAGTGAGTGGGGCACTGAGCAGCATGCTCCCATGTAAACACCTTCTTTGTGCAGAATTTTGGGTGCAATTTCAACTTGTTGATTTGTAGTAATCAGGGTTTTAACATAGTGAAGGAAAGTACCTCTCACTTAACAATCTAGAATCATTATTGAAGTTTAACACCTATCTGCCAGCTAACATACTTGGAATATTAAAACATGTTTAAATTTTGCTAACCAATGTTCAAGATAGATAAATAAAAAAGAACACAATAGAGATGTGACTATGATTAAGTTTTTATACCAGTACATCTTCAGTTAATTATTTTACCATTTAATTAAAATCCTCTAAAGGGAATTTTGCATCAGCACCAAAAATACGATGTTTGTTCTTTCTAGAATTAACATTGCCCAATGGGTGCAAGAACAATCCTGTGTTCCTAAATACTGCTTCTTCATCTGGTGGACGACGCAGTGCACCAGCCAACACTCATGTACTGCTATGTAGAGTTAAATATGCATCAGTAACATCTACACTGTTACAATTGTGTGTTACAACTGTTGCTTTCCTTTCAAGTATGTTAAAAGGGTTTTGAAATATTTTCATTGTTGGTGAAGAAATAAACATAAGTTATTGCATTTCATGTATCAGCTGTGTATAAAAGATAACATCCTTTTGAGAAGATGGTAATAATTGTGTGGATAGAGATGCTTGTCAGCCTTTTTTGTAAAATACCAGCTGCTGTGTCATTTAGGTTTGGGGAAAAGGATCAAATGGTATAAACCTTTGAAGCCATATGTTGCCCGCAGTAACATGAATATTGAATTGTCAGATTGTTCTTATGTTAATTATTTGATATTGATAAACATTCAAAAAGAAAATTTTAAATTATTCACACTACACATTTATCATGATTGTCATTGTTCATGGTTTTATTGAAATATCAGGTATATGGCTTTACAATTTATATTCATGCAAACAGATTATCAGTAAAACATGCTCAAAAACCTATCTGTAACCATGGTAACCTGAGCAGTGATCAACATTGTGACCATGTGAATGATGTGTTTGAGAATAGGTCTTCAGCAACACATGCTTGGCGTAAGAGGCAACTAACAGGATTGGGTGGTCAGGCACGCTGACTTGGTTGTTACATGTCATTGTATCTTAATTGTCTGCATCAATGCTCATGATGTCAATTGATAAATGCTTATGTCAAGACCTGTGAAGATCCAGGGTAGAATAGGTCTTCAGCAACCCATGCTTGCTGTAAAAGGCAACTATGCTTGTCGTAAAAGGTGACTAACAGGATTGGGTGATCAGACTTGCTTGTCATCGATCTCAATTGCGTGGATCGATGCTCATGATGTCAATCACTGGATTGTCTGGTCAAGACTCGATTATTTACAGACTGACGTTATATACTGGTAGCTGGAATATTGTTAAGTGGGTCCTTAAACAACAAACAAAAAAAGTTAACCATATTGCACCAAAAATACGATGTTTCTTCTTGTTTAGAAAAAGCATTGCCCAGTGGGTGCAAAAACAATTTGTGTTGTTCAATACTGCTTGTTCTTATGAACAATATCAGTGTACCAGCAAACACACATCAGATTTGACTCAACCACAACTGATAAATTCTTGATGTAATATCAAGAAATATTAAATCAGAATAATGTGAAATGGTTTTCAAAAGTGCAATATTTGTCTCTTCGTCGTCATGGCCATGATTTTTAAAACTTTCATTAGTTTAAAAATAATGTGTTGCATTTTGCATTGTTCACATTCTGAAATGAACATGCAGTTTAACATGTTATGGCCAGGCAGGTGTAATACCTTGGTTTACAGATTTCAAGAGCCCATTTAAGTCTGGGCCCCCATTTAGTCATCATTGTACATAGTGTAGTATTTATTGGCAGCATTTATTTTGTCTCAAATTCATGCTTTTGAAAAGAATGATTTAATAATAAATTGAAATGGAAGTCTTTTTCACAGTTGATCCTCAGATAACATGGTTAATCATCTTATGTAATTAACATTTTGTGTAGGAATTATGTTTCTTAACTCATCTATGCCAGCTAACATACTTGGAATATTGAAACATATTTGACTTTTGCTAAACAATGATCAAGATTGATAAATAAAAAAGAACACAATAGATCTTCAGTTAATCATTTTACCATTTAATTAAAATCTTCTAAAGGGAATTTTGCATCAGCACCAAAAATACGATGTTTGTTCTTTCTAGAATTAACATTGCCCAATGGGTGCAAGAACAATCCTGTGTTCCTAAATACTGCTTCTTCATCTGGTGGACGATGCAGTGCACCAGCCAACACACATGTACTGCTTTCTAGAGTTAAATATACATCAGTTACAATTGTGTGTTACAACTGTTGCTTTCCTTTCAAGTATGTTAAAAGGGTTTCGAAATATTTTCATTGTTGGTGAAGAAATAAACATAAGTTATTGCATTTCATGTATCAGCTGTGTATAAAAGATAACATCCTTTTGAGAAGATGGTAATAATTGTGTGGATAGAGATGCTTGTCAGCCTTTTTTGTAAAATACCAGCTGCTGTGTCATTTAGGTTTGGGGAAAAGGATCAAATGGTATAAACCTTTGAAGCCATATGTTGCCCGCAGTAACATGAATATTGAATTGTCAGATTGTTCTTATGTTAATTATTTGATATTGATAAACATTCAAAAAGAAAATTTTAAATTATTCACACTACACATTTATCATGATTGTCATTGTTCATGGTTTTATTGAAATATCAGGTATATGGCTTTACAATTTATATTCATGCAAACAGATTATCAGTAAAACATGCTCAAAAACCTATCTGTAACCATGGTAACCTGAGCAGTGATCAACATTGTGACCATGTGAATGATGTGTTTGAGAATAGGTCTTCAGCAACACATGCTTGGCGTAAGAGGCAACTAACAGGATTGGGTGGTCAGGCACGCTGACTTGGTTGTTACATGTCATTGTATCTTAATTGTCTGCATCAATGCTCATGATGTCAATTGATAAATGCTTATGTCAAGACCTGTGAAGATCCAGGGTAGAATAGGTCTTCAGCAACCCATGCTTGCTGTAAAAGGCAACTATGCTTGTCGTAAAAGGTGACTAACAGGATTGGGTGATCAGACTTGCTTGTCATCGATCTCAATTGCGTGGATCGATGCTCATGATGTCAATCACTGGATTGTCTGGTCAAGACTCGATTATTTACAGACTGACGTTATATACCGGTAGCTGGAATATTGTTAAGTGGGTCCTTAAACAACAAACAAAAAAAGTTAACCATATTGCACCAAAAATACGATGTTTCTTCTTGTTTAGAAAAAGCATTGCCCAATGGGTGCAAAAACAATTTGTGTTGTTCAATACTGTTTGTTCTTATGAACAATATCAGTGTACCAGCAAACACACATCAGATTGGACTCAACCACAACTGCTAAATTCTTGATGTAATATCAAAGAAAATTAAATCAGAATAATGTGAAATGGTTTTCAAAAGTGCAATATTTGTTTCTTCGTCGTCATGGCCATGATTTTTAAAACTTTTTTTAGTTTAAAAATAATGTGTTGCATTTTGCATTGTTCACATTCTGAAATGAACATGCAGTTTAACATGTTATGGCCAGGCAGGTGTAATACCTTGGTTTACAGATTTCAAGAGCCCATTTAAGTCTGGGCCCCCATTTAGTCATCATTGTACATAGTGTAGTATTTATTGGCAGCATTTATTTTGTTTTAAATTCATGCGTTTGAAAAGAATGATTTAATAATAAATTGAAATGGAAGTCTTTTTCACAGTTGATCCTCAGATAACATGGTTAATCATTTTATGTAATTAACATTTTGTGTAGGAATTATGTTTCTTAACTCATCTATGCCAGCTAACATACTTGGAATATTGAAACATATTTGACTTTTGCTAAACAATGATCAAGATTGATAAATAAAAAAGAACACAATAGATCTTCAGTTAATCATTTTACCATTTAATTAAAATCTTCTAAAGGGAATTTTGCATCAGCACCAAAAATACGATGTTTGTTCTTTCTAGAATTAACATTGCCCAATGGGTGCAAGAACAATCCTGTGTTCCTAAATACTGCTTCTTCATCTGGTGGACGAAGCAGTGCACCAGCCAACACACATGTACTGCTTTCTAGAGTTAAATATGCATCAGTAACATCTACACTGTTACAATTGTGTGTTACAACTGTTGCTTTCCTTTCAAGTATGTTAAAAGGGTTTTGAAATATTTTCATTGTTGGTGAAGAAATAAACATAAGTTATTGCATTTCATGTATCAGCTGTGTATAAAAGATAACATCCTTTTGAGAAGATGGTAATAATTGTGTGGATAGAGATGCTTGTCAGCCTTTTTTTTGTAAAATACCAGCTGCTGTGTCATTTAGGTTTGGGGAAAAGGATCAAATGGTATAAACCTTTGAAGCCATATGTTGCCTGCAGTAACATGAATATTGAAGTGTCAGATTGTTCTTATGTTAATTATTTGATATTGATAAACATTCAAAAAGAAAATGATAAATTATTCACACTACGCCTTTATCATGATTGTCATTGTTCATGGTTTTATTGAAATATCAGGTATATGGCTTTTGTTTTATTGAAATATCAGGTATATGGCTTTACAGTTTATATTCATGCAAACAGATTATCAGTAAAACATACTTAAACCTATCTGTAACCATGGTAACCTGAGCAATGATCAACATTGTGACCATGTGAATGATGTGGTTTGAGAATAGGTCTTCAGCAACACATGCTTGGCATAAGAGGCAACTAACAGGATTGGGTGGTCAGACACGCTGACTTGGTTGTTACATGTCATTGTATCTTAATTGTCTGCATCAATGCTCATGATGTCAATTGATAAATGCTTATGTCAAGACCTGTGAAGATCCAGGGTAGAATAGGTCTTCAGCAACCCATGCTTGCTGTAAAAGGCAACTATGCTTGTCGTAAAAGGTGACTAACAAGATCGGGTGATCAGACTTGCATGTCATTGATCTTATTTGTGTGGATCGATGCTCATGATGTCAATCACTGGATTGTCTGGTCCAGACGTTATATACCGGTAGCTGGAATATTGTTAAGTGGGTCCTTAAACAACAAACAAAAAAAGTTAACCATATTGCACCAAAAATACGATGTTTCTTCTTGTTTAGAAAAAGCATTGCCCAATGGGTGCAAAAACAATTTGTGTTGTTCAATACTGTTTGTTCTTATGAACAATATCAGTGTACCAGCAAACACACATCAGATTGGACTCAACCACAACTGCTAAATTCTTGATGTAATATCAAAGAAAATTAAATCAGAATAATGTGAAATGGTTTTCAAAAGTGCAATATTTGTTTCTTCGTCGTCATGGCCGTGATTTTTAAAACTTTTTTTAGTTTAAAAATAATGTGTTGCATTTTGCATTGTTCACATTCTGAAATGAACATGCAGTTTAACATGTTATGGCCAGGCAGGTGTAATACCTTGGTTAACAGATTTCAAGAGCCCATTTCAGTCTGGGCCCCCATTTAGTCATCAGTGTACATAGTGTAGTATTTATTGGCAACATTTATTTTGTCTCAAATTCATGCGTTTGAAAAGAATGATTTAATAATAAATTGAAATGGAAGTCTTTTTCACAGTTGATCCTCAGATAACATGGTTAATCATCTTATATTATTAACATTTTGTGTAGGAATTATGTTTCTTAACTCCTCTATGCCAACTGACATACTTGGAATATTAAGACATATTTGACTTATTTGAAAAGAGGGACACAACAGAGCTTTGACCAAGATTTTTTATACCAGTACATCTTCAGTTTATCATTTTACCATTTAATTAAAATCTTCTAAAGGGAATTTTGCAGCAGCACCAAATATACGATGTTTGTTCTTTCTAGAATTAACATTGCCCAATGGGTGCAAGAACAATCCTGTGTTCCTAACTACTGCTTCTTCATCTGGTGGACGAAGCAGTGCACCAGCCAACACACATGTACTGCTTTCTAGAGTTAAATATGCATCTGTGAAAACACAGTAGAGAAGTAATTATAAACATTAAACATGTTAAACCAATAACAATTGTGTATAAAAACTTTCCTGAAAAGGTTTTAAGATGTTATAACATGATGCAAAGTTTTACGTTCCTTGTATTACTTTGTCAGTTTCAGCATTAAAATCATCGCATGGTTGGATAAGTTCTTGGTGCCAAAACATGCCGCAGGGTACACATAGAACATGTAGAAATCATATCTCTTTATAAAATAACTTATGTTGATCATAAGAAGGCAGAGATAAATGCACTTTCGCTTCAGTACACTGGACAAATAGATGGAACATTGTTGTGACCACACTTAATTTGTGAGAATTTAAATATGCTGAATGTCAAAAATAATAAAATGAAAAGTACTCTTGTTGGCATACTTATGTCGCAGAGGGCACACCTGAACATCTTAGTTGTCATGCTTCTCATTGTTTCTATCTCCGTAGTGTCAACACTCATAATTGTTACATCCATGTCATGGTCAGTGAAATTCAGGTTGTATCATTGGCCTGGATATGTTTACATTCATCACATTGGCTCTCTAATAAAAGTAACATAAACACCGCCTCTGTGTTCTAGTGGTAGATTGTCTGCCTGTAGAGCAGAAGGTCCGGGGTTCTATCTCTGGCCGCATCATACCAAAACACGTTAAAAGATGATGCCCTGTATGGCGCTCGGCATTAAGGTGATTAAACAAGGACTGGATGGCTCAGCGTCAGTATGCTGTGTCTAAGTGGGGTATCCATGCTTATTCAGCTTATACGGGGTCATATACGGTAAACTTCGGCATGGTATCGCAGTGGGATAGCGCTATATTATAAAATCAGCATTTGTCCGAACCAGTACAATCAGCTGCACGCACGCATGTCGCTATATAAGTGCAATAAACCCATTTCACCTCACCATGCTCACCTCTCAAAAAAACAACATTTTAATTTCTAAATGATTTTTAGTTTAAAAGACTTTTAGGAGGATCATACTTGTTAGTTTTGAGCAAACCATGTTTACCAACAATCAACAAATAGCCTGATGTACAATGAATAATACTTGGCACCAAAAATACGATGTTTCTTCTTGTCTAGAAAAAGCATTGCCCAATGGGTGCAACAACAATCTTGTTTTCTAACATACTGCTTGGTCTTCTCATGGACTGGAGCAGTGCACCAGTCAACACACATCCCGTTTTGGTTTAACAAAAGATCAGCCAATATGATGTAGTTATAGTCTGATTTAGTATAAACTCTGTAGGCTAAAATTTACAGGAACTTTTTCTTGCAGTAGGAGTGTCATTGATTGGACATTTTTAGTATTGATGTATCACCTCAAAAGTATGATATATCAGTTAATGATACGACTGATTGTTCTGAATGTGAGTAGATAAAAATAACAATGTAGATCTGCAGTTAATCAGTTTAATGCTAATTATGAACTCGGCTGATACGTTAACTGTTCAACATTGAATTTCTGCCTTCTCATTGTACTTAACAATGGTTATCTTGATAAATGTAAACTTCTGTGTCAGTGAATTATTAATTTGGTGTCGATCTCCATAAATTTTTACTGATACAGCATCAATATTACAAATTTACCAATATTGCGATATTCATTGACATCCCTAGCTTATGGGGTGGATGTATGCTGAGATACTTTGAAAAGCTTTGAGTGGGGTATTCATGTTAAACTGCATCAGAAGTAGTATCGACGATGGGGGTACGGCCTCACCATACCCTAGACCTGGTCCAACTCCTGGCAATGCTTCCATGGAGGTCTAAAGTTATATAAATTATGTGATATCGATCACTGATTTGTCACGTTTGGCTAGCAAAATGTAGCGTCTGCTTAGCAAAACTTCATCAGTTGCTACATTTTACAAGGCAGTTGCTACATTTGTACAGTGTATATTCTCTGTGTGTCTGTCGGTTTCAGGAAGTGGAAGGCCGACAAGGGCAGTGTATATTCTGTGTGCATGTGTTCACACAGTCACCTTCTCACAGCTGGCAGGTCAATCAAGTTGTGGGAAATTCATACACGGCAGGTTTTAAAGGTAAAAAAGCTTCTCCAAATTTTCATAATCGTTCTGCGTTGTACCTCTATTTCTATTCAGTTTTACCGTGATGCAAGGCGTCATGATCATGTTAGTATGGTTAGAACCACTGTAACCATGGTAACACTAATTGCTGCAAAATTGCTGATGCATAAAGCAGTAATCTCACTTAGTCATTTTAGCAGAAGGGGCCAAGGGTCGCTGTGCAGAGTTGTCCCTTCGGCATACCAGAAACCTAAGATCGTGGACCCGTGAAGATCCGGGGTAGAATAGGTCTTCAGCAACCCATGCTTGCTGTAAAAGGCGACTATGCTTATCGTAAAAGGCGACTAACGAGATCGGGTGGTCAGGCTCGCTAACTTGGTTGATGCATGTCATCGATCCCAATTGCGTTGTTTGATGTTCATGATGAAAATCACTGGATTGTCTGGTCCAGACTCGATTATTTACAGACCGCCGTCATATAGCTGGAATATTGCTAAGTGCGGCGTAAAACAACAAACCAAAAAAATAAAGACAAACCCCTAAGATCATGGGTTTGAATCCTGATTCGCCCCAATTATGTTTCTTGGTTTGTCAGCACCATACCAATGCTAATAGGTTTCACCAAAGTGGTTTACTTATGAGACCTGCCTCACTTCGGGCTTTCTTCTCACATTCAGCTGACAGGCTGTGATATAACTGGAATACTGTTAAGAGTGGCGTTAAACACAACTCACCCACTCATCTTAGCATTAAGCATGAACAACCTGTGTCATGTGTATGTAGACGCATGATTGTAGGTGACCTGACGTTCTGTAACTTGTTTGTAGAGTTACCTCCCTTATCGGCCAGGATCTGCCGCTCATGGTTTGAATCCCCGATTCACCCTGATGACCTGTAGGTTTTTTGTCTTTGCTTTAGCCAAGCATTACACCAATGTAATTAAAATTTGAGTCTCTCTCCCCCTCCACTCACACACACTAAGATTATAACACAAAATACTGTCAAAGTGACATTAAGACCAAGTTCATCATGTTCATGTCCTTTTGCAGAGTTTCACTGGCCATGCAACAGAAGTATTCAGACTGATTTCTGTTCCGTTAATTGGGGAAACTCCTCCGAATCCAAACTCAGCTGAACATTCATACTTCCTGTCTGCTGCCCGGAGCGACCGAGTCATTAATGCATGGTGAGTCATGTGATGCTGTATGCATATAAATTTTTATAACAAGGGATGAAATCCTGAACAAGTCCCATCCCTGGTGCTCGGCTTAAATAGGATAGTGCAAGGATTGCCTGTCTCTGGAGTCGGTATACTGTGTCTGAGTGATGTAAGGGGCTTGGGTGGCCCAGTTGTCTAAGGCGCCATCATTCGCTGTGCAGAGTTGCTTCCCTTGGGCACACCAGAAACCTATGATTGTGGGTTCGAATCCCGGTTCGCCCCAATTATGTTTCTAGGTTTGCCAGCACCATACCTGTACTCGTGGGTTTCATCGAAATATGGGAAACTTCTAAGACCTGCATCGCTTCGGGCTTTCCTCCCACATTAAGCTGACACGCTGTGATATAACTGGAATACTGTTAAAAGCGACATTAAACCAAACTCACTCACTCTCTGAGTGGGCTATGTGGTAAAACTGTGGCATGGTATCTCAGTGGGTTAGCACTATAAAACCAGCATATTAGTGTGAACTAGTCCAAGCAGCCATACACAAGTGCAATTATCTCGAATGCAACGTTTAACCTCATTTCACCTCATCTCACTTCTCCATTGATAAGTCAGCATTTGTTTCAAAATTACTTATTCCTTCAAGTGTTGTTATTGTCGTTGTAACTTCAACTTTAATGTACGCATTATTAACTGTCATTCTTGGACATGTTTGGTCGGTATCGGTCAGTGTTTAGAATGACTTCATTTTCAACATGTTTTTAACCATTATGCCAAAACATATTTCCTACTTTCTTTCTGCATTATCTCTCCTCAGTGGAAAGTCTATGTGAGCTTTATATGTCAGTCTGGCACTACCGCCCTGCTCCGCTCCACCCCCTGTCCTATTGACATCTGACCAGATTCTATGTTTGGATCAGTTGTAAAGGGCAGGGATACCAACTCGGGCTACTGAAACAGATCAGTCACTTTGACCTTCCTGTTCAAATGCTCTGATACAGTTAACATTATCTTGGATATAGTCCCTTTGTTTCTGTGTGTGAATTCAACAGAATGTCTTCATGGCTTAATCCGAAATGATTGCTAAGTGTTCCAAACCATAAAAAAACCTTGTTTTTCACAGGCATAAAATGAAAATGAGAAAGAGATAATCCTGATTAATGTAAGAATAATTCCAATGTTATGAAACACCACAGAGCTTCTTGGTCTGAAACCCAGGCATTAGTTTAATGAATGCTTGTCAAACCTCTTTGACGGGCATTTAGAAGTTGGTGTACTAAGCATGCTAAGTAAGGATAAGATATATGGATGAACAACTTCTTTATTACAATTAAGAGCAACCTACACTGAAACGTCACTACTTAGTGTGCTCTCAACATGCTCAACAGTTGATTTTCATTTGGTTTGAATGCAATAATATTGAAAATGGTATCTTCGGCATTGTGATTAGAAAAAGGCAAATATAACCACTGATACACCACCCCACTGTAACCCCACCTCCTGTCCTATTGACACCTGACCAGATTCCATGTCTGGATCAGTTGTAAAGGGCAGGGATACCAACTCAGGCTACTGAAACAGATTGATCAATTTGAACTTTTTGTTCAATTGCTCTGAAACATTTAATGATTTTGAAATTGTCTGGATATTCCCATGAATTAGCTACCTTATTCTTGTTCAAATTGGCTCACATCAAAGTACAGTTTATTTTTCTCCCCATGGGGATCTCGTTGAGAGTAAGTTGTGTCAAAGATGGATCAGGTGCTCAACCTCGTGCTCAACCTCAACCTTGGTTCTTTGTGTTTCCCGATACCCCGACTGCTGATCCCTTTATTTCCACGATGTTTCTATCCACGAGCATTTCTATTCCTCGGTGTTACAAATCATTTAGACTAGAGACAACAAGCTACATAATCCATGTCAGTATTGTGTTAGTTTGAGTACAAGTAAGGTGTACCTCAATGGGATCATGCTGTGTTGTCCTACCCCAGACTGCATGGCACAGAGATTGTGTCAATAGCATGATTAGTGACTGATTTGTAAGGGCTGGACCTGTGAAGATCTGGGTTAGAATGGGTCTTCAGCAACCAACGCTTGTCGTAAGAGGCGACTAACAGGATCAGGTGGTCAGGTTCGCTGACTTGGTTGATGCGTGTCATCGTATCCCATTTGCGTGGATAGATGCTCATGATGTCAATCACTGGATTATCTTGTCCAGGCTCGATTATTTACAAACCGCCGTCATATAGCTTGAATATTGCTGAGTGCGGCATTAAACAACAAACCAACACTCAAAGTTGTAAGGGCCAGAATAGACTAATTACGTGTCACTTTCACATGGCTTGAATATCGCTGTCTGTAAAACAACACATTATCAGCTGATTTGTTTTCAAGGCATTCACAGCGGAAAGAGGGATGATTGGTAATGTTTTGTTCTTCCCTACAGGCAGATTGACACATCCTCCAAGGACAAAAATGCCCTAGCTTCTTTCTCTCTACCTGATGAACCTGTCTATGTAAATATTTCCAAGTCATCAAAAGATCAGGTGAGGGAGCAGTATTAGCAGAACTTATCAGTCTTGCTGTGGGTCATACACTGTATTGGTTTGTCTTTAAGCATCAGGCTACTTAGGTGAAGCATTACTTTGCAGTTATCAACATCCCGTGAAGATAGGTAGGTCTAGAGTAGGTCTTAGCAACCGATGCTTGCCGTATAAAGCACCTATGCTTGTTGTAAAAGGCGACTAACGGGATCAGGTCGTCAGACTCGCTGACTTGGTTGATGCATACCATCATCTCCCATTTGCGCGGATCGATGCTCATGATGTCAATCACTGGATTGTCTGGTCCAGACTCGATTATTTACAGACCGCTGTCATATAGCTGGAATATTGCTGAGTGTGGCATTAAACAACAAACCAACATCAATATGAAGGTTAAGTCAAAGCAGTGATAATCTTCAAACTGTATGGTGTCATCTGCTCAACCACAAACATAAACTTCTAACAGTCAGACCACTTCAGTGGTCCAGTGGATAGAGAGCACCTGCCAGGATGGCTGGTGGTTCAGTCCCGGTTGTGTCATACAGAAATATGTTAAAACAAGGTAGTAGTTGTTACCCTGCTGGTGCTCGGCATTTCTTTTGTATTGTTTAGCCAAAGGTATTTGATGCAACACATACAGACATAACAATGAAGACTGTCATTGTTGTATTCAGTATTGATGCTGCTATGAGTTCTGTTCAGAATGAACCCTTGTTTATTTCAGTCCATCTTGTTAGCGGTTGTTACAAAAAGTGGTCAAGTGCTAGTGTTTGAACACACGTTAAATGGGTAAGTTACCATCATGGCCATACTACACTATGTGAGTGAGAATCCCTGTAACCATAGTAACAAGGCACATTGGAATGGGTTATTCAGGACGCTGTCGTGTCAGTCACCCTTAGTGGTCTGTAAACTGCCATACTGGTATCCAGGCCTACTACTAATGTGTAATGAATGAAACTGTCGGTTGTATTTGATACCAAAGCTGTAAGATTGCTGTTTATGGTGTTGAGCTCCATCCACTTGGCTCATTAACTACCAACAGCAAGGACTCCTTTATTGATTTCCTATGGGCTGATATTTGGCTACACATTTGGTAACATATTCAGTCTGTTTTCTGTTGTACAGTGTTGTAGGATTTCCCATTTAGTACCGGTATTTGTAATTTAGAAAACTTTGGAAAGTGTTCAGAAAACAATCCCTATCTTTATGACTTTAATTCAGGTCGAAGCACTCATTAAATTTCCTGCCAAAAACCAATGGTTCTCCCTTTCACCTTGCTACAGGTGGTCTTACTTACATCGCTGGTCAGTTTGTATTGCTTCTGTTGTCAAATATTTAGTTCACTTATGATATGACATTCTTTCAGGAGGTTAAAAAAGCCACTTCGTCCAAAGGTTAAGATACAGGTGGTGACGGCTGGCGGCGGTGTTAAGGAGGACACACCCCGACCAATCCCGGTGCTCGCGGCTCACATACAGGGAGGAAAGGAGAAGAGTTTATTGCTAGCTCATGGCAGCTACCTCAAACCTACTTTCGAGAAAGTGGTAAGATATAATCTGATTTAAATCTGTTGTACATGTATTATTATTGTTTGTTACAAATAAGGACATGCTTGTTGTAAGAGATGACTAACAGGATTGGGTGGTCAGACTCGTTGACCTGGTTGATGCATGTCATATTCCAATTGTGTGGATCGATGCTCATGATATCAATCACTTGATTGTCTGCTCCAGACTCGATTACTTACAGACCGCCGCCATATAGCTGAGTGTGGCGTTAAACAACAAACCAACAAAGTTAAACATAATGCACCAAAAATACGATGTTTCTTCTTGTTTAGAAAAAGCATTGCCCAATGGGTGCAAAAACAATTTGTGTTGTTCAATACTGTTTGTTCTTATGAACAATATCAGTGTACCAGCAAACACACATCAGATTGGACTCAACCACAACTGCTAAATTCTTGGTGTAATATCAAGAAATATTAATTCCAAATTGATCAGAATAATGTGAAATGGTTTTCAAAAGTGCAATATTTGTTTCTTCGTCATCATGGTCATGAGTTTTAAAAGTGTTATTAGTTTAAAAATAAATAGGCTCTTTAAATCGATGAACAATTACACACCGTAACTATTACATCATGTTTATCATATATGACTAAGCTAGGATTTGGACAATCAGGTAATCTGTGTCCATATTCCATCTATGTGATGGCAACCAGTAAATAATGAAATCTTGACCAGACAATCCAGTGATTGATATTAAGAGCAACTGTTTGTGCCTTCAACCAAGTCACGAGTCTGACCAACTGATCCATTAAACAACTGCTTTAAACAACAAAACAATCAAGGAAACTTGCAGCAATATGGCAGTAGGTTTTTTACTCCTGTGTTCAGTCGAAACACACTCAACAAGATTCAAGAAATATAAATGTTGGCCTTAACCTCTGTTAAACATGGGATGTAAGTCATTATCATGATTATGATGTGTCTTCTCTGTTGCAGGCGTATGACCCCTCCCAGCCTGAAGTGTGTCTTATCCGAGAAGACCCACTGAGGACTGCCTTTAAGAAAGATGGAGGCGTCTCAAAGGTACAACATGCAAGCAACAGTTGTGTTCTTCCCATTCTGGGCATATTTCATCCAGAGTATGTTGTAACAGTTTTCAAATGAGCTGTAAAATAGTTCCCATCGTCAGTACTTTATTCTGTAAGCCAATAAGTTCCATGTAACCAGGCATAACCCAGTTAACAGTATGGATTGGTTTGTTGGTTCAGCGTCCAGTTGCTCACCTGTAGTATGGACTTCACCCTTGAGGTTGTTGAGGATTTAAAAAGGTCCTAATAGGTCCCAGTAGCCATGCTTCTCACAAGAACCATTGCGACATGCTTGAAAAGGGTTAGGTGGCTTCCATTGAGCGACCTGGCTGGTTACATTGTTCCTGACAGAGAGGGGTGGTCAGGCAGCCTCATGGTTAAAGCGTTCACTCGTCACGCCGAAGCCCCTGGTTCGATTCCCGACATGGGTACAATGTGTGAAGCCCATTTCTGGTGTCCCCCGCTGTGATATTGCTGGAATATTGCTAAAAGCGGCTTAAAACCTTACTCACTCACTCACTCACTCACTCCTGACAGAGATCATGATCATGCATGTGGACTGTTGCTCATGATGTCCACCACTTCTCTGTCGGGTCCTAGTTGAACCCTTGCATGGCACCATGATGTGACTGGATTGTCACTATCTGTGTCTGTGTGTATTAAACCAATTCCCAGGTTTTGTTCTGTCCTCTCAAATGTTGGTCATCATGACCCCTTGTCTCTTGTTAAAGGGGCCATGGGGGTATTGGATCAGGAAATATAACTGCATATGTTTCAACACAATTTGTGTCAGGGAATGATTAAACACTTGGTAATGCAATTTCATGAATAAAAGCTTGAATTATAATATTTTTCATCTGTTCCTTGGATAAATGTAATTACCAAGTTTACCATGCATTATCAAATTACTGTATCAGGGGACTTGGGAACTATCATCCCTCTTATTGGTCCAGATTTTGACAAGTTTTAGGACACAGACTATTCTGTATCTAACACTGGATTGTGTCCCTTCCACAGATCCGGACACCAAGCATCTCTAAGGAAGCCACAGTGTTGGTGCCAGCCAACATGGTGCCCAAAGACCCCAGTTTGTCTGCAGACAAAAGGCGGAAAAGACAAAACTCTGTTGGAGAGGTAAATATATTTATCATATTTCTTTTATGTTGGGCTGTAAAAACTATTAAGATTTCTTCTCTGGTATGCATGTTTAAAATTCTACTTGTTTGTCATCATTTTTATGAGGTTAATTAAAAATTAACATGTTCATTATATTCATACTTAATCAGTATATGCTGTGAAGGGTCCGGCAGACGGACTACACTATGAAGCAGCTCACGTTATGTTGTTGTTGCAGCTGACGATGGAAGAACGTCTTCACGCCATCAGCCTGGACAAGAGTGACACCAGGGGAGGGGCTACTGCACCTCCTACTGCTGAGAGCGTCGTCCATCTCCTCACCCAGGCACTGCAGAGTAAAGACAAGAAACTGCTTAGTGTGAGTTGTCTCCCTTGACAAAACACACACACACACACACACACACACACACACACACACACACACACACACACACACACACACACACACACACACACACACACACACACACACACACACACACTTCCCAGTGCGTTTCACCTTCATTACACTCTCTGTAACATTGCTGCCGTTAGTGTAGTAGCGGCTGGTTAGATAACGGTCAGTCGGTTGCAAGTTCAACTCCAAGCATGGTTGTGGTCACGTATCAGTGGGGAGTTTTGCCTTTGACTAATGGCAGTGATAGTATAGAGAGCTCCGGGAATGGGCTATTGCTTTGTGGAGCTTGAACACTGCCAATGTACTGAGTATTCCCTGCCAACTAAACCTAGAAGTAAGTAGTTCGACCTTGTGTCCTGTGTGCATGGTGAACAAATGTAGATGAATGCAAATAGTCCACTGAGAAGTTTGTGCTGATAGTATTGTTTTTAACTTTAGTTTTAAAAATATCACAAAATGAAAAATTGAAAGTGTTGTAGATTTGATAAACATGATAAACTATTTAGTATGTTTGACACCTGTGCCTCAACATGGGTACAATGTGTGAAGCCCATTTCTGGCACTCAGTCGTTATATTGCTGAAATATTGCTACAAGTGACATAAAACATTACTCTCACTCACTCACTCACTCACTCACTCACTCACTCACTCACTCACTCACTCACTCACTCACTCACTCACTCACTCACTCACTCACTCACTCACTCACTCACTCACTCACTCACTCACTCACACCTGTGCATTTGTGATGCATTAACTATACATGCACTTGCCCATGAGAAATATACTTGAACTGGTTGAGAAATAACATGTTTTCATGCTCAGTGCTATGAGATACTGGTTTTGTAAAGTCTGAATGTGTCTTATGTCACAAGAGACATTTAAGAAATAGTGCTTCAAACTGACAGGTTGGTATTCACCCTCCAAGACAAAACTGACCCTCAGACTCTTATAGTCTTAATATAAGTTCTCTTGGGCCATCACCGGTAGTTGGTTACTTAGCCATACAGGGCGGTCGGGTAGCCTAAAGGTTAAAGCATTGGCTCATCACACCGAAGACCCCGGTTCAAACAAATTAGATTAATACAATAATTGAAATGTTAGTTGTTACTATGCTTACAGACTGTGCTACACCGAAGCAGTGAGAAAGTGATACAGAAGACAATACGGAAACTCCCCATAGTGTGTGTGCTTCCCCTCGTACACGAGTTGTCCAAGAGAATGGAGGGACACCCACAAAGGTATGTCCACAACGGAAAGCTGGTCATTGATCAGAAGGCTTCACAGGAAAGGGTAATGGGGTTTCCTAGTGGTTAAAAGGACCCGTGAAGCTCCGGGATGGAATTGGCGACTAATGGGATTGGGTGGTCAGGCTCGCTGACTTGGTTGATGCATGTCATGGTATACTTGATGTAATCTGTGGAGACGAAACATGATAACCATGGTAACATCATATCTGTCTGGAAACTGCTTTTGTGTAAACGTGTGAGAAAACAGTGTACAATCTATGTATTTTGCACCAACTACCTTTTGGTCAACTACAACAATGTGTTTCTTAATGTGAAATAACCGATAGTTCTCAGTTGACTTTTAGCCTTTAAAATGGGGATCAGGGTGTCGTTGTACAAAGCGATCTTAGCTTGACATAGACTTAAAGCAGTCGTAGGGCTTAGGTTGTTTTGCACAACAGCACCCAGGTGACCCAGATGGCAGATGGAGTATGGATGGTGTGGGGGTCAATGTCGCCAAGGGGATAGGGCTGTGCTCCCAGCAGGGGTGTATGGTCCTGATCAGGGCAAGCTGCAGTTGGTGGCCACCATACTGTTCTTGTTTTCAGCATGCACTGTCAGCCTGCAGAAAGTTAATGTCCTGGTTATTGATGTTCCCTCTAAAATGTGGTACCAGTGTAGATGTTCTTATTTCTTCCAGTGCCAGTAAAAGTGTGAAGTGGCTGAAGACGGTGATGGCTGTGCATACATCCTATCTGATGACAGTGAGTAGATTGTTCTGATGGAAGCAGTGATCCTACTTTCCACAGTGGGTGTTAATAATAAAAGATCTGATGCATTTTCCTGAAACTTTGTATTTTCAGTGAAATTTTAATGAATGAGGAGGGGGCACGGGTGGCCCAGTCGTCTAAGGGCTGTGTTTCGCTGTGCAGAGATGTGTCCCTTGGACAAGCCAGAAACCCATGATCGTGGGTTCGAATCCCGGTTCGCCCCGATTATGTTTCTAGGTTTTGTCAGCACCATACCCGTGCTCGTGGGTTTCACCCAAATGGTAAACGTCTGAGACCTGCATCACTTTGGGCTTTCCTCCGACATTAAGCTGACACGCTGTTATATAACTGGAATACTGTAAAAGGGGGGTTAAACCCAACTCACTCACTCACTAATGAATGAGGACGCCTTGCACTGTTTATACGGTGTCACCTTATGAGGTTGATGTTGCCCCCTTGACCATGCTTGCCATAAGATGCGACTAACGGGATCGGGTGGTCAGACTCGCTGACTTGGTTCATGCAAGTCATTGATCCCAATAGCTTGGATCGATGCTCATGATATTAATCACTGGATTGTCTGGTCCAGACTCGATTATTTACAGACCGCCATCATATAGCTTGAATATGTGCTAAAGTGAAGTGTTGGTATACACTGATGCCACCTCTGTAGGTTGAACCAGTAAACTAGTCAGCAGACAGATTAGAAATGATTGTTGTTGATGGGTTTTGTGATGGTGAAGCTCTTGGTACTGCATCCACTAACTGATCGTGTTGTGTTTATTTTGACAGTTCCCTGAAATTGTTGACAAGCTGAGCTCACTATATCAGATGATGGATGCTCGTGTCTCCATGTTCACCAAGTTGTCACGGTTACAGGGCAAACTTGACCTTGTCCTCACACAGGTAGGTCTCAAGGACAAATTGTACTTTTAAACATTGAGTTTCAGTGCTGAATGTGTGTTTTGTCAACATGGGGATCAGATGGGTGGCAAGGGTGACATGACAGGGCATGGATGGCCCATTGGTGTGACACGCTGCAGTTCATGCTCCAGAGTTGCGTATCTTTCTCATGCTATGATTGGCAAAACCGCAGTCATTTGTTCGAAAAGGCAGCTTATTTTTCTTGCCTAAGTGAAAGTGCAGGGTGGGCCCACATTCGAAACTAAATTCACTTCTAGAGAATATGTACTACATACCAAAAACTATTCTGAACTGCTATCGTGTCTATTTAAAGTAACTTTCCTGATGTTTAATTGGATTAGAATGTACGAATATGGAAACTACAGAACTCACTTCTAAAAAATGGCAAAAGCAGAGCGTGGGCTGACCTTGTTGTATGCATAGGAAGATATATGCCACTATTGTAGCATCATGTATTTTATATGAATTCTGCTGTAGTCCAGACTTGACCTTGATTTACCATTATTACCAACAATTGTTTTGCACTGGTTAACGGTGTCATTTCCTCATGAAATTGACATTGCCCCTTGATGTGCTAGAGAACATTTGTAGATCATTCCTGTCCCTTCTTGTATGGAACTGACAGTGCACCAATCTATAATCAATCCCAGCTCTTCAAAATCAGATCTTATTATTTTACATGTATATTCATGTATAGTCATGACATTAATGTTCATTAAGAAGACATTTGGTATTCAAGGAACCCTGGTCAGAAGATGTCCTGCTTGTCACAAGAGACAACTAAAATGGGGATCGTTGCTTTCAGTCACTAGTTTGCCTGCTCCATATTTGAATATTTAGCTTGAATGTTGCTGACTGCATAATATTCGCTCACTCAAGGCAGTCTGTCAACTTCCTATGTTGCTGGGAGGCATCTTTAATAGAAACAACTGTTCACTTTGACATGATTAAATCCACCAACCAACTGTTGCAGATCACATCACATGACCAGGAAGATGAGGAGGATGCTGGGAAATCTCAGCAGCCATTGTTGTTATATCAGGATGGTAAGTGAAGTAATATCTGATGAATCACAACCCTCCAACCAAAGAGTGTGACTCCGTAATGTTCAAGGCATGATACATGAAGTATTTGTGGAGGCTTGTGCTGATTATGTGTACAGTAAACTACAGACTCTAAGAGACCACTAATATTGGTTCGTTATAACTGTAGTTTGTTGTAAGCATATGTACAGCATATACACAGCAAATGGCCCAGAACAAGTTTGTTGTATCCGTCAGTTCGTTTTAAGGGTATTCGTTATAAACGTAGTTTGCTGTATATAGGACATTTTCCTGTTTGAAACAAGATAAAATAAGACCTGGACAGTAAATTTTACATGCAGGCAACTTTACACGGCCTTAATTAAGTTGGCTTTGGACTGCCTACATGGTCTAGTGATAGAGAGTGCACCCAGAGAGTGGAAGGTCTGGGGTTCGATCCCCAGTCGTGTCATACCAACTTATGTTTAAAGATGGTACTTGTTGTTACCCTGTCTGGTGCTCGGCATTGAGGGGCTAAAACAAGGACTGGTCAACTTGGAGTCAGTATCCTGTGTCTGAATGGGGTTTTCATGTTCAACTGCGGCATGGTATCTCAGTGTGCTAGCACTATAAAATGACATCAGTCCAGACTCTTTTGTGCGTATTTGATGCAACATTTTGTCCCCGATAATACACTGGATCTCAGTATATCTTTGACATGCAGATAGCTGTGCACATATTGTACAACCCTGGCTAAAAAGTGCCTATTCATTAGTATGTATCTATGCATTTGTGTAGCATTATAATATAATGTTCAAGCCATTCTTCTTTGACTACCTTCCTTAAGTGATTATTCTAAGGCTTTGTTCAATATTGTATGTCCCAGCAGTGTTAGATCTGATTTTACTTCTATTTTACGTTTTCTGCCAAAATAAAATTGTATCTTTCATATTCACCATGTTCACTAATTCTTCTTGTTGACTGAATGTTAGACAAGCTCATTGAGCATTGAACCAATACTGTTCTTCTTTCAGAGTCCTCCGATGAAGACTTCCCAATGGAGGACATCCTTCCGAGTGGATCTGGGGTGAGTGGCTCACATACATTGCCGGCCCTGTGGGGATAGAATAGGTCTGCAGCCATCTATGATGGTGGAAAGGGATGGCTTAGCTGGAAGTACCCCATGCTTTCCCTGTGGGGATTCAGGGTAAAGCAGAGAGTAGCCTTGTCTTCCACTGTACCTGTGTGTGACGGTGTGGATCATTTTTCACAATATCAATCACCAGTTTGTCTGGTCTAGGCTCTTATTTATAGCCCGTCGTCATATAGCTGGAATATTGCTGAGTATTGCAGTAAACAACAAACATTGAGCATGTAGTAAAACACTGGTTTGCTTGGCCCAGACTCAATGATTACAACTGTCTGTTTTATTCAGTTCCAATTAATAGCAAAATTGAAGTATTGAGAACTGATTCAGAATTGTGGCCCTCAAATGCAACTAGTCAGTGCTGACTACTTTCATTGGATTTTCTACTTGTTTTCTGCACAATTTGGTAGTCTCAAATTTGTGGACTAACATGAATCTCGAAGGCTGGGAAAAAGCGAGACTGGTTGTGATGAATGAATGTTTGTTTTGCAGGAGGACTGGGACGATCTGTCGGAGATGAGCTCCGATGAAGTGGAGGCCAATGGAAAGAAAGAAGACGAGGGTGTAGAGTCGGAGGAGGAAGATGACGATGATTCAGGGGAAGAAGAGGAGGAGGAGGAAGATATGGGATAACAAGGAATGAGAATGCTGAAGGACTTATACAATCAGTGCAGTTTACAACTTAAACTGTAGCCTCTCTGAGAGTATTAAGAAGTGCCGTGGGAGGAAGAAACATACAATGAATTGCAAGATGGATGGTCTGTGTGGTGGCTGTGTGGGAAAGATCAGAAGTGGAAGAGACAAACATGGGCCAGCAAATACCACAGACAGAACCCCCTCCACATGACAATCTTAGCTCTGTATCGATCTTGCATCACACCATGATATCCTCCCACATCTGACTTATATGAAATACTGTTCAAAGTGCGTTAGACCAAACTCACTCACTCACTCCCTGCATGTACTACATGTATCAGTTTTATGGCGGGTTTACCCTTGCCCTCTTCCAGATTGGTGTCTTGGCAAGATAGCAGCCCACATAATCAGGCATGCAGAAGGATGCTAAGCGTCACAGGTGGCCTTAGACTCATAATAAACCTTGCCCATGGCTCGAATACTGTCTTCGTTTCTTGACATTTGGCTGAACTTTTGGTCAAAAGTGAAAGCTACCAAACTTTCATGCAGGGAAGTACACTGACCACACAATACACTGACCACATGCATTGACCACACAATACACACAGAGTATGCACACATCAGTAACTTTGATAACCAGCCCTTTATGGAAGAGACATAAGGTGCTGGGGATATTTGTTAACGTGAATGATACTTGTTATTGCAAGGTTGTTGTCTGTATGGTGAACTCTGTGCATGCATATCAACATTGAAACCTAGGAATTCTCTACTTTACTAAGGATATCAAAATAAACTCCTTCTCTATAAAACAGTATCTGCAGGAGAAATGGCTCAATGTTTACCTAGTGTGTACAAATATGTATATATGTGCATAGAAACTACATGAAATGTCCTCAGTAAGATCAGATTATGTATATCCTTGCAAAGACTGGATTATTTACTTAATGATGCAATATTAGAAGTTTCTTAACTTAACTAATGATCACCATTAGTTATGTTTGATTCTGCTTATTTTGTAACAATGTGCAATTGACAATTGTTTAACATGTTTATAATCATAATCAACTTGGTCAACCTGTACTTGTTGATCCTAATCTGGAGATTTTGACAATAGTTACTAGGCAATTATATGCCCCGTCCACACCGTTAAAAGTCTCGAATATACACAAGAAAATATGGAGTCATGTAAATTTTCGGGGCTTAGTACTGGGCTCTCATAAGGATTACGTCCCTTGGGCGCGCCAGAAACCTATGATTGTGGGTTTGAATCCCGGTTCGCCACGATTATGTTTTTAGGTTTGTCAGCACCATACCCATGCTCGTGGGTTTCACCAAAGTGGTAAACATCTGAGACCTGCATCACTTTGGGTTTTCCTCCCACATTAAGCTGACATGCCGTGATATAACTGGAATACTGTTAAAAGTGGCATTAAACCCAACTCACTCACTCATTCATAAGGATTACTTTCAGGTTGTTCAGGGGAGGGAGCTTGATACTGCCAATATGGTAGTGAAGGTTGTGCTATCTGAGACCATGTACTCCATTGTCTTGATGTTGTCATGGGCATTGTTACTTTGTCGTCCTGGTAGAATCTTCTTTGGCATCACTGTTAATGGATATCATGTTTTCAATGATCCAAAGGGCTTTGTTTGATTGTCCATCAAATAACTTGGATTTTATTAAGTTGTTCTGTAGGATATTGCAGCAACAAAAAATGGCCCTCCCCACATATTATTTGGTGGGTTCCTTTTAATTCGAAGCTTTCTGCAGCAAGTGGTAGATGGTTGGTCATCAGATATTTTACATGACACAAATGAGTATTAAGCTCAGTTTGTATGGTCTTGGAATCTCATTTGATGAGCAAATGTCTGCATACTTCTGTCTTTGATCAATTGAAACTGTGTGGACCTATTGGCCTCCCTGCTACAGCAGATCCAAGTAACAACACAAGATGATCAGGTGGCCCTGGTGTCATACATAATCTGAGGACTCGTGCTATAGATATGAGTTGGTATATTTGGTTCGTAATTACATGTCCGATAATTATGTCTTGAACTGTACTTGCTAGCTTTAATTTAGATTTCAACTCTTGTCTTTCATTCCTTTATCAAATTACAGTCAAAGCAAAGTCCATGATTATCACCATGATTATGATGTATGATATGAACATGAATACGATGTAGTTTCATTCTGAAGCCAGCTGCTACACCATGCACTGTGTGACAGGGCATGGCTGTACTCTAAGACAATAAACCATACAAACAAAAGGGCGTTATGTCGGAACAGTGCAGTGCTGTCTACCTTTTAGGTAAATCACAGGCATGGGTAGACTATTAAGTAACTCTACATGGATTCCATGGTTTCCAAGCTTGGGGCCTGTTAGAATTTGTCGCTTGCAAGCCATGCTTGTATCTGGTGACTGAATGGATCGTTGGTCAGGTTCAGTGACTTGGGTGTTTTGTCAAGGCACCCTGATGGTGTGCATCGTTGATCATATCAATCACTGGATTTTCAGGTCCAGACACAATTAAGTACAGGCTGTTGCTCTGTGCGACTTTAAACATACCTGGTATGGGAAAAGGTGGTGACTCTACAATGGCCAAACCATTCACCCCATACAAAGTGATTGCATGGTGCCTTTTACACACTTCATGCATGGTGTTTTGACCTAACGTGGTCAGCTGGGACTGCAGGCAAAGCAGATTATGGCCTCACCAGCTATGTTTGGTTCAGCCACAAGTCGAGTTATTCTACATCCAGCTGATGTGAAAGCCAGAGCGTAATGTTGTCATAGTAATGATTAAAGTGGTCGCTCAACATGCTGAAGACAATGTGTAAAACCCAGACTGATTATTTACAGACCTCCCTCATACAGCTGGAATATTGCTGAGTGCGGGGTAAAACAACAAACCAACCAACCCATATCTGGTGTCCCCCTGCTGTGATATTGCTGGAATATTACTAAAAGCGCCGTAAGACCATAGTCACTCACTCACTCACTTACTCACACACACACTCACTCACTCGCAGTAATGATGTTGGCCAAAATCCTAGTTCCCATTATGAACCATACCAACGTCATCTTTCAACGCTACGCCACAGACAGCAGGTGGATCAGCATCATTCTCACTTGGAACCCAGTCGCCCTTTAAATCTTCACAACTAAACACGTAAGCATATTATATAGGTTTTAGCACCTAAAATGTTTAAACAACATGGTTTTGATAATTATTTAAAAAAGATCTTCAAGAACTCGAACACTAAGTCATAAACAGATTAGATATTCTTCTTGATGTTCTTATATATACTGAACAACAAAAGTTCCTGTGACACTGAATAAGATTTAATGCAAAGTTATGTTTTTTACCAAATCTGAAACAATTTCGGTTTGCAACCGATAAAAGACTCCTGTAAGTGTTCAAATGGTTTAATTTGCCATACTGACTTCAGAAAATGCGTGATTTCATTAAAAAAACATGAACATGCCAAAATGTCAATTTACAAATCAATAGCGTGTGTGTCCACCTCTGCGATGCAAGCAACACATCTTCGTTTCATGGAACGGACCAGGCGTCACACAAAGTTCTGTGGGATATCTGTCCATATCTGCTGGAGCATGTTTCGAAGCTGGGTGGTCAGGCTTGCTGACTTGGTTGAAGCATGTCATCGATCCCAATTGTGTATATCGATGCTCATGATATCAATCACTGACTTGTCTGGCCAGACTCAAATATTTATCTCGACCGGCGTCATATAGCTTGAATACTGCTGAGTGTGGCGTACAACAACAAACAAACAAACCGACCATTGTAGCTGTGTCATGGAATGGTCCACAGGTTAAGTTCTGGTTACATAGACCTTTAAAACAATAGGCATATAGAATTGGAACATATTCATGATTTTATCCTCTTTTGATAGGACATTTTAGCAAATCTGGATGCATAGGAATCGGAACTGTTTGAGCATATTGCCAAGGATTAGATTTTGGACTGTTGTAAGCGACTAAAGGTACACTATTTTGTGTTTATACAAGGATTTCGTTGAGAAAAAGAATATTACCCTTTACTCAGTTATTATACCTTAAACAATGTTCATAAATGTCTCCTTTTGTATTATAATGTCCTGAGTTGACCTTCAATATGGCATGTTTTAGTTGGGTCCAGTTCAGTCAGAACATATGTGTCACCAGAATTGTAATCGGGTTATACAGGCTAAATGATTGTCCAACTGTGTGAGTATTAGTTCATACAGGCAAGCTTACTGTACATTATTCCAATTTGTGGGAGACAAGGACATTTATTTACGTTCAGTCCAGAACTACTTTTATACAGGCTATGGTCGTTGTAACGCTCTGGTACCCAAGACATGTAAGACACTAGGCAAATGGTATTAGAACATATCTCATTATTTTATTCACTTTTGATAGGACATTCTTGCAGATCTGTTTCTTTCTGCATATGAATTTGAATTTCTGCCCCGATTGGCAAAATCGGGAGTTTGGCCAAGAACCTAAGCTTCAGACAATCGATGCTCTGATACCGTTTAATCATGGTCAAATAGCCAATTCCCTGCCACTGATTTACCAAGCAATGAAAGAGACTAGTGAAACTGCTCCATGTGTTTCATATTTAGTTCTATGGATATTTATTCAGTGACAAAAACTGAATGACACAGGACTCCAGGCAAGATCAAGAGGGATGACTTCAACTTTCCCTTGATGTGAGCAATATTCCATCAGCTCCAGTCTTTTGTGTCTACATTTCACAGTCTGAAACACTTCCTATTTCTCATATGTCTAACAGCAATAAGAGCCTTTTTGTCTTCTCCCAAATGAATGCTTTTGGCGCTTGATTTCTCATCAGATCGTTTTCCGAATGCTGCATTGTTAGGATTCCTCTGAGTTGTATCTGAAATGTTAAAGAATATGAAATAGATATTTTTCAAAATTTTATATTACGATGTGTGCCAATATTTGACATTTTTATAAGCTATAGGTTAAGCACATCGAACGTAAAATGAATAAAGATTTCATCCACCTGACGATTAGATGTTTACTATGCTTAGTGGAATCAAGCAGATAACATGCAGAAGAGCTGCCTGCAACTAAAGCCTTTAGTGTAACTATAACTACCGCAACAGGTTGAATATACAAGTAGCAATAACATAGAGGCCAAAAGCAACAAGGAACATTCTTCATGAAATATTTTCACTGACAAAAACTGACAAAGCATCTGCATATAGAAGTTTCAACTATGCTTTCATATAGATAGATGTTTTATACACACCAAGAGAAATCAACAAAATCATTTGTTAAGAAATTGTACTATGAAAGCTAAGATAAAGAAAAAATGGACCTACCGTCATAACTCGCAAGATCTGCGATCTTTTTGTTTTCCATTGCTTAGTCCGCGAAGTCCATCTTGACTTCATTCCGGCAGTGTTAGTGACGGTGACCTACTTACCTCAGATGGAATCTGCGAGGCCAGGAATGATTGTATGCACATTCAACCAACGCACGCAGAGATCACACATGGTAATGCACATGCAAGCGCGCACATACATGCACCCAGATACAAAGTGGCCATGCCCACAGTTACTCACATGGCCACATGCATGCATGCATCCATATAGAAAGTGGCCCACACAGCCACACACATGCATGCATCCAGATAATAATAATAATAATAATATATGCATTTGTATAGCGCAGCTTTCATGATTTTTTCTGTACATTCTTGGAATTTGTCCCAGTTCCTAAATAGCAAAAAAGTCTTAGGGTTTATTGATCTCTGTATGTGCCAATGAAGCTGATTCGCCGGACATCTGGAGGCTGCCAGTGTTGATGTCGATAGCTACATCCCAAGAGGCATCAGACAGGTGACCCTACACCCAGGGATACCCTTCAGATGAGCCCATCCACGTCAACACTGGCTGGCATACCATTTAATGAACATTTGATAAACAAAACACTATATTTTATTCTAATAGTTTTTGCGACGTTCTTTTCACAATATAATTTTTCTAAGGACATCTAAGGATCTTTTGTAGATATTTTCTTACAAAATCAAATATTTACTTGAACAAATAAATTTTTATCAGACATGTAATGGCAATATAACAGTATTGCAGTAGTTCAATGTACCATCTCCAGTTAGTTTGGCAGTTCATTTTGACCCCCTCCCAAACAGTTTGCCTCTATTCATATCATCACAGAATTTCGTCATGCAAATATTCAGAACAGACTGTCGTATACTCACAAACCAGAATCACATCAACGTAGGCTGTGTCGCTCCCAATTAAGTTGCTGACGTAACAGGTGTAGCGGAGTTTGGTCCTAGTCCCAATAAAAGAGGAGTTGAGGGTCAGAATTGGGCCGGTGATGTTGTTGCCATCCTCATCACTCCACATGAACGTGTTCTCGAAATCTGGGTTGCCTGGCGTTGTGTAGTTACTACAATTCAGGTTTAGGACATTCTCCAACAAGATGCTTCTTTGTAGGCCGGATATGTTTGGAGGGTCTGAATGAAAACAATAAGTAAAATAAATATGGAATGGAATGCATGTGTCAGGTCAGTGGATTACTTGTGCAATTAGGTCTTATGGTGTATGTCTTTGTGGTGGATATCTTGATCAAAGACAGCAGTTCACACACTGGTCACTTCTGTCTTATTTAAAACTCTTTAATAGTATAAATAGATATTAGATGCGAAGGGCAATGTATGGCTCCAATGACACTCTCCATGACTGCATTATCAAGGTTCCCTACTTCATTACTTACATTCGAAAAAAAGTGTTTAGTACTTCCGGTTTTGAACTTCAGACGAGAAAGTATTATGGCAAATCTCATTAAAAGCAGATCTTTGTTACAACACCATTTACAGACACACATGATCATATATTTGTATACGTATTTAGAACTAACTGGAAGAATTTACACTTAATACTTTATTTTAGTACTTTATGATACCATAACCCAACTCTCCGCACATTAGTAATCTCATTAAAATCAGACCTCAGTTCTCGCTACGCGTAGCGAGAACTAAGGTCTGATTTTAATGAGATTGTATTATGTCTGTAGCTTACTTTTACTTTATTTATTAGTATTTCCTGTTTTGATTATGTTTCCGGTATTGAAATAAAGGCTGACTGGCTATCACTTTTCAACTGAAAGTCCTATAACATTAAGTGAATTCATAGCATAGCTTATACGTCCGGTTTAAGTATATCATTATCACTTTCTGTTTTGCCAACGCGTGAACCTCACATCAAAAGAACCCACCCCTCAAGTACCGTCAGCAAGATTGAAAATTCCGTGTCTGTAGGTGAAAGGGGTACACAGTTAAGTGGTAATTTGAAGGCTTCAAAAAGGAAGCCTGAAAGAAATGCGTTACAATAACGCGATCTACTGAGTGTGTGAGTGAGTATGGTTTTACGCCGGTGTTCAGCGTGACGAGCGAACGCTTTAACCACTAGGCTACCCGACCGCCCCCTTGGCAGTCGACGGAGGATAGGGGGCACAGGATAAAGAAGCGTTTGCACTTGTATTATTGTTACTTTTTTCAGTTACTGGCATCTGATGACACTGAAAACTGCCAAGCTTGACAGTTATGTGATGGGCTGGTGAGGGAACAATGGGTTAAAAGATACTGTTTTCAAATAACTATGTTTCAGTTGTTTCCCCGTGGTGTTAAAAAATATGAGTCTTTACTTTGTCAGAAAACTCAACAGTCACAGTCACTGGTTTCCGAGTAACAAAACGATGTATTTGAGACCAAGCAAATGTTTTTGACACAAGATCGGTGAGCAGAAAACCCCTAGAGCTCGTTCTTGAGACTAGACCGAATCGCTGAAACACAGCAGAGAGGTCGCGGGGTCATGTACCTCCAAGTAGTCCCGGAAGAAAAGGTTCCCTTTTATTAGGCGATAGCTCCGTTGTTCTTGGCTGCTTTACCTGGACCTGGGATACCTGATCCCCAAATTTGGAAGGCATCAGACAGTTGGTTTCTGAGAGGGTAACTGGTAAAACTCGCTATCAGTGAATGAATTTCGAATTAACTGCCCATAGTCCTTGAGCCTAAAGTCTTGAGAATTTTAGCGTCACTTTCTTCAGATTCTTGCAAATTCTGATGATTTAGGGGGAGACCTTCTGGTGACAGGTTTTTGAGGATGATGTGGTACAAAAATGGGCGGAATAGTGAACAATAAATAATAATAAACAGAACGATTTAAATAGGGCACTTAGCCTTGGAGCCTTTATATTCATAACTGATTTTTAAAACGCCTAATATCCAATTAGTGCTGCTCAATGGCATTGTTATGGGGAATATATAACGACAGACACTACTATAAAATTTCAGGTACAGTTTCAAATACTTACAGTACACGTCAAGATGGACATAATAATACGTTTCAGCCCACACTGGAGGTTTGTTTGTTGGCTGTAGAAAGTTGGAGGCGGTCAAGGTATAAGTCCCTCGCTGAGATCTGGTAATGTTCTGGATGTACAGTATAGAACCGTTTGATGTGAAATTCTGAGGCCCTGTCCACACAAAGGATGTAACGTTGGGGTTCCCTGGGGTGAATCCACCCCTTCCATCTTCTCCAAAGTTCGAAAATTCCATCATTCTCTCTGAAGATCCACGTGGAGGGGGCCATGGTCCGTCTAGAATATCACATGCACAGAAAAGTGTCTTGCTACAAATAAGTACACTGGAGTGGAAAACTGTAACATAATATACCTCATGCTTAGCTCAAGAATTGACAAAGCGGCCACATAGACGCTCGTGAATACTTTGGGTGACAGTACTGATATACACAGAAACAGTTCTACTTCGACACAAATATAACATCGGTTATGGTAAGGTTATTATAACATACATAGTATATCAACGAACACAGACGCTGTGGCCTCTCCTTGGGTGTTGGATGCTGTACAGTTGTAGGTTTCACTGTCCATACCCCTTTGAACAACCCGCCCCAGAACAGGACCATCTTGGCGGTAGGCGCCGCTCCGCCAGCTGTACGTGGTGGTCGGCGGTACACCGTCGGTTGTGTAGGTGCTGCAGTCAATGCCCACTTCGTCACCTGCTATAACTCGGTAGACTGAAGGAAACCCGGAGATGACTGGAGGAACTGCAACATACATGCACAAAGTGATCTTTTGAAGTCTTTTTCTATCTGTGCAGTTAGCTACTGGCTTTAAAGGCTTTGTGGGTCATAAAATACATAGGACAGACCACAGTAATTAAGTATTTGCCTCACAATTTTTATCCAGGCATTTTGTTCATTAGATAAAAACTTCAAACCAGCAAACTTATAGATAAGTTTGTGATAATTTCGGTGAAGGCCCGGGTTACAACGTTTATGCCAGAAACTAACTACCCGTTCAGCTGCAAAAATCGATATGGATATACTACCTAGTTCTCCATAAACCATAAAGTTTGGGGTTGAACTCTAAAACTACTGGCTAGTTTAAAGAATGTTAAATTTTCATGTTTTTCGTATGCCAATTTTTTCAGGTGCACGTCTAATTTCCAATTATTGCAATAATATTTAAAAGAATCACCGCGCCAAAAGGGCATAAGATAATTTCCAAAAATTAAAATATGGTTTGGATTGTACCTTTGGTTAGTGCATTTAATCCTGAATGAACAGCCCGTTTCAATGTAACGCATATCTTTATTTGATGGTTCAATTACAAGGCCCAATCGGCTTTAAAGTTTCATTTTATGGTCTCGTATCCCTGAAGAAAGTGTATTCTCTGACTGGAAGACTGAACGGTCTTTGAAAAGTGAATTAATAAAATGTGAAAAGGGAAATTGTGTATAAAAAAGTGACACTAACAATTCGAATTCACGATGTGAAAAAGGTAACATTCTTTACGTTTTATCTTTTTGTTTGAAAAGAAATTGTTGTGTTCCCTGGTTTCATCAAATGTCCCTAAGTCTTAGAAAGGTAGGGGTCATTGGGCCCCACTGTTCCAGTTTCTGAAATGAACTCTGTCCAGGAAATTATTTAATCTATTATAGACAAGAGTGGGGAAAAGTTTTCCAAAGCAGCTATGCGTTGTAATGGGCGTGTAAGCGTAAGGCTTTGATTTGGGCTCCCCGTGTAGATAGGACGTATAGAGCCAGAGAACCATGCCCCTAGGCAATATTCCTGAAGAAAATATCGAATCAAAATAATCGACGAATACCGTTCCAAAAGCTTCAAACGAATCAATAAGGTAGTCATTCTCAATTTTGTTAGTCCCTGAGCCGCTGTTACGTTTAAGACTCTTAATAGACGGTGCTGTTTTGTCAAAGGTTACGTCATTATTCAAAACATTGTCATCATGATCTAAAATTTTCTAAATCAATCATATGGTATTCATAATTAATGTTCTTAAAATGTTAAAAAAAATCAGTGATATCGGATATTTCCGAATTTTGGTTTCTATTACACTTATTGATGATCTTCCAGGGTTCTTTAAGTGAATATTTAGATTTTACTCTTATCACTGTACTAAATTCATTTTTATTTTTGTTAAGGCACTTCTTATACTCCTTTGAACATTGTCGATAATCAAGTTTAACAACATTTCGACTTTAGTGAGGTCGATAGACACTAGAATGAAAAAATTGGATATCCTTGTCTTTCAAACAGCCTCCGTGGTCTAGTGGTAGAGCGCCTGCTCGGAGAGCGGAAGACCGGCGGTTCGATCCCCGGCCGCGTCATACCAAAAGACTAGTCTGCTAGTCGGTATACTTTACTTAGTAGGGTATCAATGTTAAACTGCGGCATGGTATCTCAGTAAGCTAGCACCATAAAACCAGCATTAGACTGGACTAGCCCAAGCGTAGGCGCGCGCGCGCGCGCACGCACGCACGCACACTCAGGTTTATTGCAATAAATGGAAGGTTTGCATTCTGAAATAACCATGAAGGTCCAGTTTAGAGTAGGTCTTCAGCAACCCATGCTTGTTGTAATCGGGTCGGGATCGGGTGGTCAGGCTCGCTGACTTGCTTATGCATGTCATCGTATCCCAGTTGCGTGGATCGATGCTCATGATGTCAGTCACTGGATTGTCTGGTCCAGACTCGATTATTTACGCACCGCCTTCATAAAGCTGGAATCATATTCCACACTTTATATTGCTGAGTGTGGCTTTAAACAACAAACAAACAAACTTACCGGCTTGACAACGGTCAACCAGCACCATTAGTAGTAACAGCCATGTTTGACCTCCCCTCATCCCGCACGCTGCGTCTGACACAAACAAAAGTATGATTGACACACGCGTTAAGAAGAACTGTTAGGCCTGTGTTAGGCATGCTTTAATTGAATCAACAATGTTTCGGAGAAACAATGCATGTATTGAAGTAGTGTTTGACAAAAATAAGTATTGAAATCAGCGGCACAATGACACAACTTTTACATCCCTTGACTGACTGATCGTTAAAGGTTTTGTAGGTGTTCGGGCAACAAGGTCCATTTACACCCTGAACATAATGAAGGTTTGCTAAGTTCCTGGATATGTGATGAAGTAACAATGACAGTTCAACGCCAGGTACATTAAGGTACGTCAATCTGATTGGTTGATGAAGGAGTGACGTCACGCTTAAAATAGCTCGTATAGTACATTCAAACCGGTCGAGAGCGTGAAATCGGGTCATGCAGCCAATCGTCTGTCAGCTGTGTGAACAAAATGCTGTGATGAACTAGGTCACATAGCAGCCTTGTCCACTGAAGGCAAACAGTTGTGTAATCAAACCTTTGAGGGAGGCAGTCCTCTGTATCCACGAGTTAACATACACATACACAAGCATGTTTTGTCATTGAATGTAGCCAAGCTCCTTCTCTATAGTTATGAATGGCTATGTAGTCGATAAATATATAAGCTCTATTTACATCGTTAAGGCTTCATTTCACGTGTAACCATGCCGACTGATGGTTGGAAAGTTTATTTATCTGGTATTTATTTTAATCCCCAAACACCCAGCTTCCTTTTCTGGGCCCAATAAGCTGTATCTGATTGTCAAAAAGGAGTGGAAAATTTGATATCAGTTTACATCACATAAAGAAGTGGTTTACATCCGAAGATGCCTATTCGCTTCAGCGACCTTTAAGATACAAGTTCAAGTGGAACAGAGTGGTGGCTTCAGGCCTCAATGCTCGATAGGATATTGACTTGGCTAATGTATCTAATAAAGCCTCGGACAATGACGGTGTGAAATACCTGATGATAGCTATAAATGTATTTACACGTTTTCTGTGGGTCGAGCCCCTTAAGAATAAATTGCCAGACGCTGTTATTAAGGCCATGAAGAATATACTCTACCACGAACTATACGATCAGACAATGGGCGAGAATTTGACAATAGGAAAGTGAAAGCTTTCTTACAAAGTAAAGGAATCACTTACTATGTGACACAGAATGAAACCAAAGCGTCTTATGCTGAACGGGTGATCAGAACTCTTAAAATAGCTATGTACGGTTATTTTACCTATAAACAGAGTTATCATTATTTGAATATTTTGCAAGACTTGGTGAAGGATTATAATCACAGGCCTCACAGATCCCTGAATGAAAGATCACCCTCAGATATTAATGTAACCAATGAAGTTTTAGTATGGAAGGAACAATACGTTGACACTTTAATTAAACCAGTCAAATCGAAAGTTGAAATCAAACAGTAGTCAATGAAGAAACCCTTTAAGTTTAAAGTGGGGGGATCAAGTGAGGCTGTCTATTTTGAGACATACATTTTAAAGAGACTATCAAGAAAAATGGACTGAGGAAATCTTTATCATAAGAAGAAGGTACTATCATGATGGTATGCCTATCTATCTATACAAGGCAGTTTCTATGCAAATGACCTACAGTGAGTAGACAAGCCCGCAGACACTGTGTGGCGAGTGGAGAAGGTATTGAAGACAAGGAAGCGAGTTGGCGTAAAAGAGGTGAAATAGACGGGCTATCCAAAAAAAGTTTAACAGCTGGATCCCAGAGACTGATCTTCAGAGTTTATAAGGATCTTCCTCTTGAAAAAATGTTCATTTACTCTCCATTCGTCATGGACTCCACATCGTGTCCTGATTGTGAGAAACAGTTTTCTAGGAAAGATGCTATGCTGAGACATAGAAGGAATAAGCATTCACCAAAACCACCACCAACACCACCACAATTTACTCCACCACCACCACCACAATTTACTCCACCACCATCACCACCTCCACCACCACCACCAACAAAATTGACTCCACCACCACCACCACCACCATTTACTCCACCACCACCACCACCAAAATTTACTCCACCACCATCACCATCATTTACTCCACCACCACCACCAACAACAAAATTATTTCACCACCACCACCACCATTTACTCCACCACTACCACCAAAAGAGGAGCAGACTGTCAACCAGTATCATTTGAAGCCAGTCCCAAGAACAGGCTACATCTCAGAAGTAGTCGCTCCAGTGGACAGTGAATCAGAGGACGACACTAGTGATACAACAATACCTTCTTGTGACGAGTGTGGTATTGTGTTTGAAAATAATCATGACCTCCAGCGTCATGTCAGATCGTGGTGCCCTGAAAATGGAGGGGAACCGTTGAGGAAAAGAGCTAAAGTTGAGATAGCGGATGCAGCTCATGACAATAGTAATGTCCTATCTCCTGTAGCAACCTCCAAAGTCACTGACACAGATAAAGAGAGGGAGATTAGAGGCCTAGCATACATGTGGGAACAAACACTAAAGCACTGTCAAGATGATGTCTTTAAGTCAAGAGAGGAGTATAAAGGTCAAGGAAAAAGTGAGAGATGGATTGAAAACAAGGTCAAGAAATGCTGGGAATCAACTTTCCTAGAGCTATCAGCTTTTCAAAAGCTATCAGATATGTCAGCTACTTTGGGTATGGACCCCTTTTCAAGCCAATTCTGGAGAAAGTGATGGCATTGGACTCTGATGCAGATCCCAAGGAACTCGCCACTAAAATCAACCAGTGGATGAAACCTATTGTGAAAGACATTTTATCTCATGTAGATCTTTCTGAGGCTGAAGATCTAGAGCGTGAAAAGTCAGATGTTGATGATGATACAGACACTGAACAATAATCTGTCAATTTACATTGTTACTGCCATTGTCTGATAATTGATTTTTGTGTTTGAATGATATATGAAATAAACGAAATAAATGAACAGGTTACATTTTGTTTGTTTTTCATATGTAATGACATAAATCCTTGTGGTTATGTGAAACCAGTGAACTGATATAGCTGTAGGATTATCAATACAGTAAGATATTCAGTCAATCCGTGTTCAACAACAACAAAGAATAACAATCAACTTTTAATGTGTGTATTTATTAACATATGTGTCATTCAAAAGGTGGTACAAGTACAAAAGAAGCAACATAATGTTTTAATAACATAGACTCTCAGTACACTAAACATTACCTTCCCCAGTTGCAATAAAACTGTGCTAATGTATGGATCTTATCTTCCAATACCCAACGTTTATCATCATAAGGGCTTAAACTGATTTTGTTTATCCCAACAGTATACAGCTGATGGTTTTGATTATGAATTTGTTTCATGTTGTGTCTAACTTGTTTTTGACCATACAAGCTTTGTACATGCTGTGCCTTAATTGTTTCTTTATCACTGTTTTGCTTACTCCCTTGGCTGTCTGTTTCTCTTTCAGGTGAGGTCTCGTTCAACATTTTAGACTGAGCCCCTGGCTGGATTATGAATGAATTATCCTCAAAATAACAGACGACTGTTATTCGTTACCACTGTGCTGGGCGACCTAGTTTGATAGGGCATGTATGTACACTATCGAGTTTGTATTGGTTGAAGGAATTAAGAAAGGTATGTCCCTTTCTTGAATTAATGTATGAAACACATAGTTTATGAATCATTTCTAAAACACTAGTTCATGTTTACATGGAGCTATTTATCCACCAAGAATTTGAATGTAAAACCGTTTAGCGCGGGCTTCCCCAGTTATTTCACCATCCCGTGTCAGCAATAGATGCTGTGCTTGACAAGCCACGTCTATTTTTAGCGTGACGTCACTCCTTCATAAACCAATCAGATTGACGTACCTTAATGTAATTGGCTTGAACTGTCATTGTTACTTTATCATCAGATATGTATTAAAGTAGCAAAACTGCCACACGCTTTAATATAAGCAAGAATGCCAATCTGAATTCCATGGCGAACGATATTCCTGGAACATAGTAATCCAGCCAATGAGAGGTTAATATTGAGAACTGTGAGAGACTCCACCATTGCCTTACGTTGATTTGCATATATTTGACAATGCAGTAAATAATGAGCCACATTATCAAGCTAATTACACACTGTACAATGTGCTGAAATGTCTTTATAAAGAATATTGAGATATGCACCAAGACCACAATGCCCAAAACGAAGACTGGTTAAAGAGAACCTCATCTCTCCGATTGTTTCGAGATATGTGTAATGCATAATAAAAGGCTCGATGCCATAGAGATGACGTCCTTTTAATGATGATGCCCATCTCTGCTGCCATATTATTTTAACATAGATCTAACTGACGGTGCCTAGCACTGCAGGAGAAGTTAATAGAGCCCTCATTGGATCTCGACTTGATTGCGGTTGTCTAGCCTATGGATCTCCATGTGTCACACAAAAGGCAAGACTAGATGTTCAGTCAAAAGCCCTAAGATTATGCATTGGAGCGTTCAAAACCACCTCTGTTGGGGCCTCATCCCTTCTTGAAAGCTGCATTTGTTCCTAATATATCTTACAGCTGCAGGGGGTGCCTTTCTGATTTGCTCCTGCAGGGTGAAAGCGGTTCTGCATACAGGTCGTGTTGATGACTTGATCACTGCACAGGCACGGGAGCAAAATATATTTGTAGGTTGAAATTGAACGAAAATCTGCACCCCCAACTCCCATAAAAGCTGTATCCTCCCATGCAGCTGCATCAAATATGGTCATAAGCGCTGGTAGATGTACGGTCACAACCACTGCCAGTACAAAACCTTTCATATAGTACGGACAGTGGGGTAATCAGATATCTTGTAGCTGCTAATTTCAGCGTTACAAGCCCCTGCATGTGATCACGAACAGACGAAATGATTTATGAAATACCTGTTAATGCACACGGTGGCTTTGATTTGTGTCTGTAACAACTTGTATCCGAAAGCACTGTGACCCAATGTCAGTTTCTTCACCTGCGTGTTCTTAGCATAGACCAGTCAGCATGGTAAGAGTCTGCATCTTGGATACACGTAGTGTACATGTAGTGATCACCCACGGACTGAGGTAGGTCTTGCTTAAATTACGACGTATACCTACCCGATCAGTCCCATCCGGGGACCAGGAAGCTAACCTGGGTCGTCAGTCAGGGCTGAGCAGTCCCATACAAAGACTGCAAATCTTTGTGATACCATATATATGAGACATGAAGACATCAGCCGCTGCATGGGTCATTGTTATTGTTAATGTTTGGTAACTAACATGTCTAAAGTATGTGTATGTCACGTGTTCCTTATAATTGATACGTTTATGGGACATAAATGGGATTACGTGGTTTCGGGTGCTGTCATTTGCTTTAAGGTAGCTGTCTAATAAGAAACCTATGGTAATGGATTCCAATCCCGGTTCGCCTCGATTGAGTTTCTAGGTTTGTCAGCACCATACCCTTGCTCGTGGGTTTCAGCAAAGTGGTAAATGTCTGAGACCTGCATCACTTCGGGCTTTCCTCCCACATTAGGCTGGCAGGCGTTTATATGACAGACATACTGTTAAAAGCTCACGCACACACTCAAAGTGAACTACCGACTCCATATGAGTCGATATACCGTCATGAAAATCCAAGATGGCTGTTACTGACTGTCTCATATGAGGTCAGTAACCATCTTTGATTTTTACTGACAATATGGAGTCAGTAGTACTGCTCTCTGAATGGTCAATCATAACAATGGAAAATATAATGTACTAAATGTGAACGTTTGAACAAGTATTTTAGCTAAAACAGATAGACTTAACATACAAATGTCCGCATGTTATCAGAAATCTGAGGGCCACAGTAACTTGATAGCAGTCCAGGTTTTTTTTCCAAATGACGGGCTGCTCTCTATTCAGTTGCAATGTGGCGTCATTGGCGTCACGATTCTTGTTTGTGACGTAATCCTATATCATGTTCTATGACGTTGCTCTTCGTAACTCAGTGACTTCCGTTGTGAGCTTTCTTTCTTACTAATCGTTATTAATGAAGTGGTTTCTTTCAAAATTAATGTCTTGGCACTTCACAATTAATGATATTTATACAAAAAAACAGTGTCGGAAAACGAATTTCTCTACCTGAATTTTCATGTAAAATACGTGAGGTGGGTGTTGACAAATCAAAAATGTCTGTCTCAAATGAGATCAGTAACAACCATCTTGAATTTTTACTGGTGGTTTGCGGGCTTATACAATCTCATTCCAATCAGATCTAAGTTCTCGCTGGCGCTAAACAAAGATCTGAGGACATCCAATTACGGATCACGTCAGAACGACCTTTCGTGAACTTTGACCGACCACTGAAACGACAGCCAATTAGAAAGCACCTAGAATATCCCGTGTAAACGTTTTCGAGGTTGCATGATTAGAAAACACATTCCGACTGTCACTTTCATGATCTGGTAAGCGTCGTTTTGATTGGTCGGATGAAAGGTCGTTCTGACGTATATAATCTGCAGCGGCATGCAACAACCCGAGTGCGAAATACGCATCAGTCGGAAAGCGCACGTTAAATCTCCAAAGTAAGTAAGTAAGTAAGTAAGTAAGTAAGTAAGTAAGTAAGTAAGCAACAACCCAAACTTGATACCTGGGAATATATAGTTGTATTCAGAAGTTGCCAATCGAGTCGCTTATGAAGCGTACGTAAATAGCTAGTTGTTGTGGGCGCAGCAAGGGTGCGCAAGACACCGACCCCATGAAAGACTTCTACTTCCGTTTCGATGCTCGTGTGGCTATTTCTAATTCTGCTACCCTTCAGCACGCTACTGCATTAACACATGGACGTGACAGTCGTTGGAAGTTGCATGACTGATTTAGTCAGGTATGATGATTTACCAGCTAAAACTCAATACACCGAGCACCGTGTATATCTATATATACACGCATCGATAGTACAACAGTTATTCCGACATAACAGTTATCGCGCGGACCTCGCAGCAAAAACACAAGGTTGAGTGGGCGTGGCTGATAGTGATGGCTTGGTTCAACCCTCAAATAATTATTTTTTACATAAAATACTTACACTGGTCAATTTTATAATTATGTGCATCTTTGTAAAATAAATTCCACTTGAGCCCCCTAATGGTTAACACATCACATACGATATAGTAAATTAACATGTTAAAAATGTGCTAAAAAATACATTTGAGGATATGTGACTATGGAGACTGAGTATTTTTGTATGTATTTAAACAAATTTGGGGGAAAGGCTTAATTTTGTGCAAACTTTTTATTTGTTTAAAAATTCTCTTTAGTTCTGAAATATTTGCATTGCATGCAGTGCAATAATGTAAAACCTAAAGTATTAAGACATTTTCTCATTTTCTTCAGTCCTAGTATCAGTGAACTACAAGTTACAAAGCTAGCTATGATTATGTTAAACTGAATTGGAACAACAATTGTTTTAGGCCTGGGACAGAAGTTGGACCTGTAGAAATATGTGCAGAGGTGTCATATTTTGATGGAATACTGAACTGTATCTGTTGGATCAAAACAAATCTGTTGTGCCGTCAGTCATAGGACTGACTTAACACTGAGAGCAATTTTGTGTTTATGATGTTATAACTTAACTACAGTAGTATGAAGGATATCTGGTGTTATAGTTTTGTGTTCACTCTGCAACTGTCCTGTATGGAAAGTCCTTTAGCGACACATCTCAAGTCAGACTATCACCAATATGAAACCATAAACTAAAAGTCAAATTGTCAAAGATAGGGTGTTATTATATTTACAAAATGCTCATTCCTTCCCAGTTTATGACAGATCATATTGCTTACAGTGAAGTGCCGCAATGTTTAATAAAATAAGACATCACTGCATCAAAATCTTGTTGCATGCCATCATAACACTGATTTCATCAATGGAATGTCGATGCATGTTCGAGACTGAGGGAAATACGTAATAATGCATGTTTCTATAGATTTGCTAATAAATGTGCACACTGATGTAGTGATGTTATGATGGTGTTTTTTTATAGGTGAATGTTTTATCCATATGTTGTTAACATTCTTTATAAAGTTAAATAGTATTAATTATACTTTTTGCAAAACTGTTAACACAGTGAGTGTTGACTCTATATAGCTCTAAAGTAAAGTGAGAATCTGCAAGAAAATGCACTCTGATCCCTGTCTTTCTTTACTTGGACAGTTAGGTAATTCTAAATTTTTTACTAATTAATTTATCTTATAAAAAGTTAAATACTCTCAATACCTACCAGTGAACATCCTTAAGGTTGGAATGTGTGTTGTAGAAATATATTGAGATGTCTTTTCAATGTTTACATTCACTGAGTGAGTGAGTGAGTGAGTGAGTGAGTGAGTGAGTGAGTGAGTTGGGATTAACCCCGCTTTTAACAGTATTCCAGTTATCAGTTTTATTAATGTGGGAGGAAAGCCCGAAGTGATGCAGGTCTCAGACGTTTACCACTTCGGTGAAACCCACGAGCACAGGTATGGTGCTGACAAACCTAGAAACATAATCAGGGCGAACCAGGATTTGAACCCACAATCATAGGTTTCTGGCATGCCCAAAGGGACGCAACTCTGCACAGCAAATCCCGGCACCTTAGACGACTGGGCCAGCCGTGCCCTCCCTTTACATCCCTGAGAGTGATGGGGAAACCGAGTGGTGAAGGTATTTGCTTGTCACGACTGAAGGTCTAGGTTCGATCCCACATGAGGGAAATGAGAGAAACCTATTCTTTGCGTCCCCAGTTATTATTGCTAAATTCAACACATAATCCACATAACGCCTTCCATCCCTCCACTGGAATAGCCGATGCCACTGTTTGGGAAGAGGAGTGGTGCATCTTTAGATTTGTCAATTCATGTTTTATTTTTTTGAAACATGCCAACAAATGAGAAAATTATGGTGTTGTAATGCTCTTGCACTTAGAACACTTGCTCGGCTTTACAACTTTCTAGTGCCCACCTGTGCAACCCTGCGCATGCTTCTGGGTCCACGTATGGTTGGGGTTTCTGTGCCAACAGCTACTCTTTACAACTTTAACAGATGTTTTAGTGAATGTTTTAGTGAACTCTCTTCAGTTTTTACTGGGAAAGACAATTACTACTTTGTGATATTTCTTTACAGCTATGCTCCAAGACAACCCAAACCAGGGGAGACTATCCATGGCACCAAATTTCAGATTGGCTTTGGTGGCAAGGGAGCTAACCAGTGTGTGATGGCCGCCAAGCTGGGAGCCAAGACAGCCATGGTTGCAAAGGTACTTCAAGTTGTACTATGTTAAAAAAACACGTATGAACATGATGAAAGCATAGTAAAGGTTTTACACTTTTCTGAAATTAGACAAAAACACCAAATAGTTGATCTAACAAACATAAGACATGTTTCTGATATTACAACAAAATGATTCACCTGGACAGGCCAATCACTTACCATACTTTCTCCATTATGAAATGAGACAATATATTTTTAAGAAAAAAACCTTGTGTCCAGTCACAAAGAAAAGCAAGGGGGAAATTGTTCTAATTTGTTCAGATTTGTTTGTTTGTTGTTTAATGCCGCACTCAGCATTATTCCAGCTATATGACGGCGTTCTGTAAATAATCAAGTCTGGACCAGACAATCCAGTGATTGACATCCTGTGCACCTGTGACAGCCTGACCCCCCAATCCCGTTAGTCACGTCTTACGACAAGCATAGTCTATTTGACAAGATTTGACAAGTAGCTTATTCTATTAAACATGATTAAGTACACAAATGAACCACTTAATTAACTGATTCGGGTAAGTTTTTCTTTTAGATTAAATCCTATAATCAATGCACATTTATCCATAAATCACCATTTGGGACCTTAAAAGAAAAATAAGACAGGTGACGCCCTAAAAAGAGTGATGGCTGTGAAAGGTTTAAAGATTTAGTTTGAGACATATAATAGTACTTACTCAAGTACAACCAATTTTATTCTTCTCTTAGGATAACATTGTTTTCCTTTCTGAAGACTGTTTTGTAAGTAAACAAAATGAGTGAATGTTTTATGAATATTACCAAGTTTGGACCAGACAAATCAGTGACCATGGAGATTCTGGTTAAGATAACAGGTCCCTGGGAACCAACGCTTGTTGTAAGAGGCAACTAAATGTATCTGGTGGTCAGGCTCACTGACTTGGTTAATTGCATGTCATCGTATCCCAGTTGCATGGAATAATGAAGTCAGTCACTGGGTTGTCTGGTTGAAACTTGATTATTTACAGACAGCCGTCATACAGCTGGAATATAGGCGAGTGCAAACAAACAATGTGACTGAAACTGTGGGCAATGATCTATACAAACAGCCAAGCCACAGTCTGACCACCAATCACCATTTTGAACTGAATCTCTTCTACATGTAAATAATGCATGGTTTGCTGATGTGTATCAACACATAATGTGTTTACAGTGAATTGAATTTAGAATTGACTGTGCAGTGTGAGATTTCAAATGCAACATTTGATAATGCTGATTGTTTTCTGTCTTTAATTCTCAGGTTGGAGATGATAGCTTTGGAAAAAATTATATTCAGAATTTTAAAGACAACAACATTGATATTGGTGAGTTTTATGTTGGGTCAGACAATATTTTTGGTTCAGTAAGAACTGCTCACTTCAATTCAACTGCATAGTAAAGTCACTTGTTATTTCCATACGCTTTCAAAATCACCCAGTATTTATTGTTTGTTTTATTGACAAGTAATCCTAAAGGTACATTTCAATGTCTGTGGAGGCTAGTTGACATTTCTGTACATAGGGCAGTCACGGAAAGATGATTAATATTCAAAACTGTTTTTGCTGAGGAAAACTGTATCTGTAAACTGCAAAATATTAAAATCTTTCCCGTACAACAATCATTGTATGAAAGTGCTGTAAAACCTGACTAACTGACTCTTCCCTTCCCAGGTCATGTCGGGGTGACTGCAGACGCATCAACAGGAGTAGCACCTATCACAGTCAGCGACGATGGTTTGTGAATACATCCCCAGATTGCTGTTATGAGGGACATTGCCCTGCTAATGTTTGTATGCAAAAACCTGGGTTAGAATAGCAGTGTCTCCCAAGCACTCAATTTGCTGGTTCAAGGCTGGTGGGCTGAGTGCATGTCATCGTGGCCAGATGGCATGGATCTTTGCTCATGTTTTCAGTCACTGGTTGGGACATAATTATATACAGGCTGCTGTGAAGTGGATGGAATATTGCTGTCACGAGTCACATACCACAATCAATATAATTAGCAACCTCCCAGCCCCTTAATAAACACCCCCCCATGACTTGTCCAGCCATTAAGATATGAGCACCCTCCCCTTCTTATCCATACATCCATACAAGTCAGTGGTGTACTTTTGAATTGTTGAATGGAATATGAAACATAAGGGTATGTGTCATGTAGGGCTGGGATGGGTGATTCGGGTACCTGGCTTGGGTGGCTCCTGAGTAGGACACGAGTACCAACATGACTACCTGGACCCACAGTTAGTCACATGATGTATTGTTTAGTGACAAAAGCATTAAAACTCCTTAGTAACTGTACAAGTTGCTAACGTTCCCATTTCTTTCCAGCTATGCGCACATTTCTTTTTTATATGTTTGAGTAAAGATAAATAGTAGTCAACTGCAGTGTATGCATGAACAGAATGTTATATACGTGTGTCTAAATATTTTTGGCCAGGGCTCTGGTAAAATAATTCCCAATAGGATATTTTCTACCCAGCTCTTGAGACCTACCCAGGTGGGGTCAGGTAATAGGGGGTCAGGTACCCAGGTAGTAATTATGACCCGTCTCAGCCCTGGTGTCATTGGTAACTATGTACATCATTTGAATATGACAATTGAGGTGAAACATGATCATTTGTTGTGATACCCAATTACCCTGGTGACTCACAATACTCCGGTAGGGGAAAACAGGTGGCCACAATTCTCTCAGTTTTCGGTTTATCAGCACCATATCCATGGCATCTTATCATGGGTTTCACCAAAGTGGTGAGCATCTAAGACCTGCATCACTTTTGGGTTTTTCTCCCACATTAAACTGACTCTGTGACATAACTGAAATACTGTCTAAAGCCCCTATTTCACTACGACCACGAATATCCCGACTCACCCCGAATAGGACATTTTTCATGTTCGTAGATAAATCTCAATCATTTCTTGAAGTTCTTGAATCTTATTTGATTCCCAAACATTCGTACAGTTCACTGGAGTTCGTTGAATCGGCAAGAAATTTTTTGTTTGTCAAAAACTTTCGAGGCTGTATTGTAATCTATTCGTAATTAATTCTTATGTTCTGTAACAACTTCATAATCGATTCTTTTGCATTCTTGGCTATTTTTACTGATTTGTGGCTCCCAAAATTTCTTATCCTCAACCTGAAAACATCCCAAAACAGCCATGAATGTCCCGAGTCAACTACAAATCATGTAAGAATTTAGTAAGAACAACATTCAGCATATTCCTAACATAGTTACGGGTGATTCTTACAATTCATGCATGATCCGTACATGTTTCTTAACCCATTCCCGGCATTCTTCATATTTTTCCACCCGATTAGCAACAAAAGTTTGCATTATTGGCCGAATCAACAAGAATTTTGAAAGTTTCCGATTCAGGATGATTCAGGATATTTGTGGTCGTAGTGAAAGGGGGGCATAAAGCGGCAACTACTTCCATAGAATATTAATTTTAAAGGGGTACTTGGCTCGAGCAGCTTGGCACTCCCAGCTTGATTCAAGTCATTCAAACACCACATCCAACTCTATCTGTGTTATCGGTATGCTTATCAGTTTAGTATGTAAAGATGACCCTAAGAACACCGAGACAGTGTCACAATGTCACACAGGGCACTATAACAACATCTAGACTGGAAATGGGCTGCAGGAGCACAGTGCCCCTTTAACAGAATACACAACTGATGCTGCCAGTGCTGTTTCAACATGTTAAATGTCCCTCAGGTCAAAACTCCATAGTGATCGTTGCCGGTGCGAACATGTTGTTGAGTGACAGAGACGTTGCAGCGGCGGAGCATCTGATCATGACAAGCAAGGTGATTCTGTGTCAGCTGGAGATCCCAGTCCAGTCAACTCTCACTGCTCTGCACATCGCCAGGAAACGTGGAGGTAGGCACCATATTGTCTCCCCATGGGGATTCCAGGAGAGAGTGAAGATCTGGGGTAGAATAGGTCTTCAGCAACCCATGCTTGCCGTAAAAGTTGACTATGCTTGTCGTAAGAGGCAACTAACGGGATCAGGTGGTCAGGCTCGCTGACTTGGTTGATGCATGTCATCGATCCCAATTACGTGGATCGATACTCATGATATTAATCACTGGATCGTCTGGTCCAGACTCGATTATGTACCCAATAATTATGGTACTCAAAGCTTGGCTTCTTGTCTTCTCCTGGTTCTTCGTCCCATGGTAATTACATAGGATTATTTTGAATCTTGTCCCATTTTTACAGGTAATTCAAATTGATGATGATTATAAAATTACTGTTTCATTCTACCAGTTATCCATTGGCTGCTGGGATGACATTTGACCTTTGTTTTTGTCAACAGTTAAAAGCATCTTCAATCCCGCCCCTGCTCAGGAGAGCCTTCCGACAGAGCTGTACTCAGACTGTGACATCTTCTGTGCCAATGAAACTGAGGTAAAAAAATGGCATACATGTTATTTCTATTTTCTATCTTCATGGCCTTCAAAGCAAAAAGGTCCAATACATCATGCCTAATATTGGAGGTGACTACATTGGGCATCAGTTCAACAGTGACCCCTGGTTTGTCTGTAAATTGGGCATCAGCTCAACAGTGACCCCTGGTTTGTCTGTAAATTGGGCATCAGCTCAACAGTGACCCCTGGTTTGTCTGTAAATTTGGCATCAGCTCAACAGTGACCCCTGGTTTGTCTGTAAATTGGGCATCGGCTCAACAGTGACCCCTGGATTGTCTGTAAATTGGGCATCGGCTCAACAGTGATCCCTGGTTTGTCTGTAAATGTGGTATTTGTTCAACAGTGACCCCTGGTTTGTCTGTAAATTGGGCATCGGCTCAACAGTGACCCCTGTTTTGTCTGTAAATTGGGCATCGGCTCAACAGTGACCCCTGGTTTGTCTGTAAATTGGGCATCGGCTCAACAGTGACCCCTGGTTTGTCTGTAAATTGGGCATCGGCTCAACAGTGACCCCTTGTTTGTCTGTAAATTGGGCATCAGCTCAACAGTGACCCCTGGTTTGTCTGTAAATTGGGCATCGGTTCAACAGTGACCCCTGTTTTGTCTGTAAATTGGGCATTGGCTCAACAGTGACCCCTGTTTTGTCTGTAAATTGGGCATCGGCTCAACAGTGACCCCTGGTTTGTCTGTAAATTGGGCATTGGTTCAACAGTGACCTCTGGTTTGTCTGTAAATTGGGCATCGGCTCAACAGTGACCCCTGGTTTGTCTGTAAATTGGGCATCGGCTCAACAGTGACCCCAGGATTGTCTGTAAATTGGGCATTGGCTCAACAGTGACCCCTGGTTTGTCTGTAAATTGGGCATCGGCTCAACAGTGACCCTTGGTTTGTCTGTAAATTGGGCATCGGCTCAACAGTTATCCCTGGTTTGTCTGTAAATTGGGCATCGGCTCAACAGAGACCCCTGGTTTGTCTGTAAATTGGGCATCGGCTCAACAGTGACCCATGGATTGTCTGTAAATTGGGCATTGGCTTAACCAATGACCCCTGGTTTGTCTGTAAATGTGGTTTTTGTTCAACAGTAACCCCTGGTTTGTCTGTAAATTGGGCATCGGCTCAACAGTGACCCCTGAATTGTCTGTAAATTGGGCATCAGCTCAACAGTGACCCCTGGTTTGTCTGTAAATTGGGCATCAGCTCAACAGTGACCCCTGGTTTGTCTGTAAATTGGGCATCGGCTCAACAGTGACCCCTGGTTTGTCTGTAAATTGGGCATCGGCTCAACAGTGACCCTGGGTTTGTCTGTAAATTGGGCATCGGCTCAACAGTGACCCCTGGTTTGTCTGTTTGTGAGGCTAGATCAAATGGTACACTGCTGAGATTCAGCGTACATCTGTCAATCTCTCAGTCTGTGTAAATATTTACATTTCCAACATCACTTCACACACCATACATAGGCCTATACAGAGTGGAAACTGGAGGTTCAAGTGTTGATGGCTTTTATAAGGCTTAATACTAAACAGGGCTGCTTGTGCATGTTGCACGTCACCTTGGTTGGTGGCAGTGCAGTTTTGTGTACACAATGCCAGCAGTGATGACTTAACAAAGAAGTTGTGTCTGATTTGCTAACCTTGGCAGCAATCTCAGTATTTTCGGCATTTATCATTGTGAAATTTGATTTTTAGGATATTGTTTCTTTTTTGTTTGTTTGTTGTTTAACCCCACACACATCAATATTCCAGCTAAATGGCAGCAGTCTGTACATAATCAAGTCTAGACTAGACAATCTAATGACTGAAATCATGAGCATCGATCTACGCAATTGGGATACTTTAGGTGAACAAATAGTTTGGCCTTTATGATTTATATTCATGGAAATCTGGGTTAGTTTCAGGTCCCCATTTTTCTGTTGTTTTTGGTAAGAGGCGAATCAGTTTGGTTGATTTTTTCGGTTTGGTTGCCCAGATGGCAAAGATTCATTCTGCTGTTTTCAGTTACTGGCCCAGAATTATGTACAGTCTGCCATGATAGAGCTGGTTTAAGGCTGACGCAGCGTTAAACAACATTCACTCATTTCTGTTCCCATTTTGCAAATTTTCCAGAACAATACAGGTGAGCTACTGAGACTTGTTGCTTCTTTTCAGGTTATCTTGGATAATGAGTCTTGAACAACATGTCCAAAACCATAAGCCTGTCATAACCAAGAAAAGACATTCTTCTTCAATTGTTCAATATCCAAAATACCATATTTCATTTTTGCTTACAGGCAGAGATTCTCACTGGCCAGAAGGTGTCCAGTATAGAGGAAGCCAAGGCAGCAGTGCTTGCTCTGCTAGACAAGGGATGTAACTCTGTTGTCCTTACGCTAGGGGAACTGGGTTCCCTGTATGTATCACAGTCAGAGCGAGACCCTCACGTTGTACCCTGCCCTAAAGTGACTCCTGTGGACACAACAGTGAGTACATCAGGCAATTCCTTGTTTCCATGACAACACAGATCCTGAACAACGGAACTGCTTCCCTGGGAAATCAAATATTGTTTTTCAAATCAGGTTAATTACCGGTAAATATGATAATGATGATGTTTAAGACTGCACTCAGCAATATTCAAGCTATAGGACAGCGGTCTGTACATAATGGAGTCTGGACCAGACAAGCCAGTGAATAACATCATGAGCATGTCCCCACACTAGTGATACAATGCCATGCAATCAATCAAGACACCAAGGCCCACTTGCACAAAGCGATGTTAGCACTAAGATGATCGTAACTCCCATACTTTAACATAGGCTTACAATAGTTGTAGCGCTAAGATCACTTTGTGCAAGTGGGCCCAAGAGTAGCCACCTATTTCATATACGCATTGGTTGCTGATGACCTATATTCTTTCCAGGGCCCACTTGCACAAAGCAATCTTAGCGCTAATATGATCGTAACTCCCATACTTTAACAAAGGCTTACAATAGTCGTAGCGTTAAGATCGCTTTGTGCAAGTGGGCCCAGGAATCACCAGAGATAATGATGATTATTATGGTTATGATGATGTTGATGATGATAATAACAATAGTAACAAAATCAATAAGTTCTGAGGACACATTGTACTGAAACTCCCCTGTTATTTCAGGGAGCAGGGGATGCCTTCCTTGGAGCCTTGGCCTTCTACCTTGCCTTGTACCCCAACATGACCATCATTGAGGCCCTGACTCGCTCCAGTCGTCTGGCAGCCATCAGTGTACAAGCTATGGGCACACAAACCAGCTTCCCCAGCAGGAAGGAGCTGCCATCAGAGCTGTTCCAGTGATAGTCTTTACCAGAGTCATACAAACTACATTACATTCGATGATTGGACATATGAAGTTTTGTTTGTATGTTTGCCTCACTCAGCAATATTTCAGCTATATGGTGACGTTCAGTAAATAATAAAATCTTGACCAGACAATCCAGTGATTGACATAATGATCATCTATCTAATCAATTTGGATACGATGACATGCATCCACCAAGAAAGCGAGTCTGACCACCCAATCCTGTTTGTCGCCTCTTACGACAAGCATAGTCACCTCTTACCCAAGAATATCAAATATTGGCGATCTCTTAGCAGGATATGTCATGTGAAAGAATTAGAGATAAGACAGTTGAAGCTAAGATCTGTTTGTGGTACTTGGCGACACTCTGCTAGCTCTACCAATATACTATGAAGTGTGATGTCCTTATATATACCGGTATTGTCTGCATGCCGATATGCACGATGTTGTTGTGAGTGTTGTTACTTTTAAAGTGAAATTACTCAGGGAAATAATGTGATCTCAGGTAAATTATTCTTTATAAAGTTCACAGATTAATTGTTTGCTTTTATTGTCATGTCTTTTGTCTTTTTAATCCACCAAAACAGGCGAAATGAAACTTCATTTTATAAATTTCTTTTCAATTTTGTGATTGTGTCTTTTGGCTCATTTGAAATCTTGTTACAAAGTATCACTTTGCATACTTGCGGTGGACATGTGGTCTATGCTTGACACAATGATCACCAATCAGGTGAGGTGAGGTGAAAAAGGTTTATCTGCTCTCAAACATATAGTCAAAAGGAATGTGTGCATTGTCAAAAGAAATGCGAAAATTAGCGACTTGTAGTGTAACCACTGAGCCGTAGTGAGTTTTTGTCATTAAACAATATATCACGTGACTAAACACGGGTCCGGACCTGTGGGTAACCTGGTCCTAGTCAGGACCTACCCGACCCGAGTACCCGAGCTACCCGTCCCAGCCCTAGTGCCAGTAGATCATTGTACCCCGGTAGGTTATTTCTGATTAATGTTTGTGAACGCAAATTGAATGAAACGCTCATAAAATATCGAGCGTTATGGTGGCAGTGTAAGTTGTCACCCATCCCTAGGGGTAATGGTGTGATGTACCTTATGTATGAATATATGTACCCCGAGCCGTCACACAGGGTACATCACACTATGTTCACCGGGGGGTCGGTTGACAACGAATTTTTCTTACCGACATTAACCCATACAGGTCCGGAATAGACGTCCGCAGTACTGGCAAAACTCGTGGCAGGCGACGCAAACGAACCGAGTTACTTCCCTTTACCCAATGCCTTCGGGTGAACGTGACGTACCCAGTGTTTTCAATTTGGGTTTGGTTTTGTATGGATTAGCCAGGATGTCAGGAATATGAACATTTTTATCAGATTATTTAAAATAAGACTTTTTGATAGTCTTAAACAAAACTGGTATTCAACACTACGCACTTCTCATAAATGTGCCAACTATGTGTCATATTAGACATTTTTACATGTGGGAAATATCTGCGCAGTGCTATTCCTTTACATTTGAGAATATGTTTCACAAGCCTTAGATGTGGTAATTTTAGACTTATGACAGAAACAGGAAAATACGCTAATGCACCTTACCATTTAAGAGTATGTCCTCACTGTAGGCTAAATAACAAAATGTACACAGAAGATGAATTCCTTGTTTTACATGTGTTTAATCAGAGACCATATAATAGGTCTATTATGGCGGCATGGGGTATAACACCTTCACCAAGCTGTATGACTCTTGGTGAAGGTCAACTATCGTCTATGGATCAGCCATATGAGGTAGCAGCAACGTAGCACTAGTAAGCACAGTACAAAATCGAGCCATGAAGTTTTTTTTGTGGGTGTGAAGAAACACGCTCCAAATGCAGCTGTACACGGGGATATGGGGTGGACACCCCCGGAAGTGAGATTGTGGGGAAGCGTGATGCGTTTCTATACAAGATGTTAGAGTCTGAACACACAGAGGCTGACATATAAACTGTTCCAGTGGGCCAGACTGTATAATAAGAAAGATTGATCAAACGAGTTCACTCAAAATTGAAATTGCTAAATTTGATAAAACTGTTTGATTTAAATAACCGACTCAAAGCCAAGTATGTTGTTACAACTGTTAAAAATGCTTTAATCAACAATTTCATTGGTGAGTGGAAGCGGAAGCTCATATGTCCCGGGAGCAGACGAGGCAAGGGAGGTAATAAACTTCGACAGTATCGAACCTTCAAGTCTGACTTCCGAGGCTTAATCATACTTGAGAGGTGACACCCCTCCATATAGAAACGGGACGGTACTGCAACAAACCGGTTGAAGAACGAACCTGTTTCAGTTGCCCGGAATCTGTGGAGGATGAGATGCATGTGTTACTCCAGTGTCCACTTTATAAGCATTTAACAATAGATATGTTTACACTATGTTTTCAGTTTAACCCTGATTTTTTTACAGCCCCTGACGAAGAAAAATTTAAAATATCCATGCCTTGCCCAAATATTATGAAAGTTTGTGCCAAAACCTGCATATATATTTTAGGTTTTAGAAGTACGTGTGTGTATCGATAGTGTGGATGATTACATTGTGCATTATATTTTATACTAAATATTATATTATATAATTACGTCTCTCATAATCCCGTCAGGGATGGCTCAGTTAAATGTTGTCTGTACCTGGGGTGAGACTAAAATGAAATATTCTGTCTGTCTGTCTGCCTGTCTGTCTACCTATATAAGAGCAATACAAGGGCGAGTTGAGCTGCGTGTTGTCCACATGCCAGGGGCGGACGGGATACCTCTCTGAATGCACAGACTTTTATCTGCTAGTATCCCACACTGTTTCCGGGGATTTAAGAACGGAGCATGCGCATCATTCGACCCATTGTCTTTTATCACTGGAAACCTAATCCTGTATTTCAATATAAATTGTTAATTATTCATTGATCTTGTGTGGTTATTTAATGATTTCACGATTTAGTTCTGCACGTACCCATTTCTGGGTTAACCTTCGCGTTTCAACTTGAGTGTCAACACATAACAATATACATACAAGGAATAAACACAATAGAAGACACAACTTGTTATGTTAATATATACAGTATACTACGTTTATTACGAACACGCTTATTACGAACTGACGGATATAACGAAATGTGTTTTGATCCCGTCCATTTGCTGTATATTTTCTGTATATATATGCTTATAACGAACTTCGGTTGTAACGAACTAAAATACGTGGTCCCTTTGAGTTCGTTACAACCGTAATTTACTGTATAGTAAAATGATAGAAAAATATAATTTCAATTATTTACACCAATAAATATTTATAACTATTATCAGTTATGTTATGATATCCTATATTGGATTACGTTATCAAAAGACCGTTAAGTGATACGGTGAAATTATTTTCTTATGTCTAAAAATAGGGATTTACACACAATTATGCCCCTGCACAATATGCATGCCTAAAAGCATTTACTGTTAAAAAAACAAACCCATTTCACTCACTCCAAACCTAAACCGATGGGATTCGAGTATTTTACTGCTGCGTTGTAGTCGAGACATTGCTGGCTGCGGCGTAAAACTATGTGCCCGTCGAAACCAGTGGTTGATCGCATGAGCAACGCCAAACGCAGTCAGGTTACGATGAGACACACATCAACCAGGTTACACATTTTAACCACCCGATCGTCATTTTAATCTTCTTTGACTACAAGCATGGGGTACCCTTGAAAATCAGGGTCTTCAGCAACCCATGCTTGCCGAAAAAGGCGACTATGCAGCTCGTTTCTAGTGTCGTAAGGGTCGAAACATCTCAGTGGTGCGTGCAAAGTGATATTTGCACCAATGCACATACAATTTTTATTAACTCTAAGTATTTCTAACACCATGGGTAATAAATAGAGGATATTATATGAGTGTTCATGTCATACTATGTTTACGACACGAGTGTCTAAATTCCAGTATTTCCCGAACAGAGCGAGGATACCGGAATTTAGGCACGCGTGTCGTAAACATAGTAGGCATGAACACGAATATAATGTTCTATTTGTTACCGAGGAAGATGTCTGCACACAGAGACGGACTTTAGTGTTTACCAATAGAACATGTATAAGGACAACAAGTCGCAACAGCAGCCGAACCACAGTTTGTCGAATGACTTCAACATACTTCAGCTGTGACGTCGTTTCTAGTGTGAGGTCATTCCGACCTCACGTCACAATAAGATTCGAATCAACAATGCCGTCCGGATGACGGAAACAATGAACCCCGATATGTTTGCCCTCGTAGGTAATACAACACGTTACTGCCCTTCTCCGCCAGTCATGTCAGTCTGACTGGATTTCCTCCAATGAGGATTGTTTGTTTGTTTATTTATTTGTTGTTTAACGTTGCACTCAGCAATATCCCAGCTATATGACGGCGGTCTGTAAATGATCGAGTCAGGACCAGACAATTCAGTGATTGACATCATGAGCATCGATCCACGCAATTGGGATACGATGACGTGCATAAACCAAGTCAGCGAGTCTGACCACCCGATCCCGTTAGTCGGCTTTTACGGCCAGCATGGGTTGCTGAAGACCTATTCTAACCCGGATCTTCACGGGTCCCAATGGGGACTGATAGCCTGGGTACAGTTAGGCCCATGCTATTAGTGAGTGAGTCAGTTGTGGGCTTCACACGTGAGGAATCGAACCCGGGTCTTCGGCGTCAACAACTAGGCTTTCCCACCACCATGCTATAAGTTAATATTGGGATCGGGTTGTTACAATGTGTAAACTGAATGACATGAAGTATCGTACCCCGTCGGCATGAGTGGTTGCTCATCTCATGCATGCTATCTACTTCTGAGCCCACTTGCGCAAAGTAATCGCTTTGTGCAAGTGGGCCCTGGTTTGTCGGGTCCAGTGTCGGTTGTATCCAGGACACAGTATAATAATGCTGTCACTCTGTGCAGAGTGGGTGTAGTACAACGTTCATTAACTCATCTCGGGATTGTCGTAAGAAGGTATCAAATGGGGATTCTACCAACTTGAAACAAGTCCCAGTCGTCTGAGGCGCCGCGATTCGCTGTGCAGAGTTGCGTCCCTTGGGCAAGCCAGAAACCTGGAATTGTGGGTTCCCCGATTATGTTTCTAGGTTTGTCAGCACCATACCCGTTCTCGTGGGTTTCCCCGAAGTGGTAAACGTCTGAGACCTGTATCACTTCGGGCTTTCCTCCCACATTAGGCTGGCACGCCGTGATGTAACTGGAAGACTGTTAAAAGCGGCGTTAAACCCAACTTACTCACTCACTCCATCATCAAAGCAAACAAAGCGCTGCGACTGTCGTAACTCCCATACCTGATGATGAGGGCGCTTCATGAAACGCCAGTTGAAATCCAGGGTTAGAGGCTATACACAAATTTGTCGTCAATCGGTGCAGGTATTGCTGCTCACGGCGTAAAATGTCCAGTCAGTTCTCAGCCTCGGTACAGTTGGCAGAATGTGGTTACACGGCAAATAAGCTCTCTTTATTCGCCTGGTTAGATCGGTCGTTGAGTATCGATTTGACGATATGGGACCACCTGGTCAGCACTGATAGATTGCAGCGCAATCGAATTTCATGATGCTAAACAAGACTCGTCGCCATGGCAACATATTAGTCAATTTCCGGAGCGTGTGCAACGTGCAGGTGGCTGGACCAACCTCTGAAACATCGGATTCGTCGGGTGTGGAGTGATATGTTTCTGGGGTATGGTGTGCCAAACCTTTCGAAAACCAAACCAAATGTAGTTTGTTGTAGGCAGCCACATTATCTGAGAGAGCATTTTGATATTTTGGACCCGTCCCTTTTAAAAAAAGGTGGATCCAACCTTGTGTGCGATGAATGCATCTTCTTATGGGTACGAGCTTAAAACAAAGAAAATTCCATAAGCATTTTAATTGCCAAATTCAAAAACAGACTTTATGAATGACAACATAAACTCCGAGATTTGACCAAAAAATATAATCTTATATTAACCGAAATTATAACAAACACAAAATACTGAGGTTTCTGTTCTGGAGATAATAAATCTAAAATTAGAAGTGGTAGCTTCAAAGCAACCCAGACCATTCCATTCCAGGACATTTCATTCGTATGTATATGATCCGGGTATCACTGCAACACGCAGTGGGCCGTTAGTATTAGGCTCGTTAACTGTAAATATCGTCATAGTCTATACACGACTCTAATCCCCTCGTATTAGTACCCGATCATGGCTTGGCCAAACCAGCATTAAATGATCCTATGATAATACCCATGCCTGTACACCAATGGTTAATCAAGTCTGTTCGCGTTGAACTAACGCATTGCGTTTATCGCTCTCCTACCACGAACAAAAGTTTGAAATAAGACGCATGATAGACGCCCGCCATGAAAGGCCGCGATCTTGTATACCCGCGATAGACAACGGTAGCCCATGTCTTTAAACCAACACAGGTGATTGGATTTTACCTGGCCACTGAGTTAACGCGGGTATACCTTGGCAGCGCGGTGTATTGTCTCTATCTCTAAGTGGAGATTCAGTTACTAATGCAATGTGTTACCTGGATCTACCTGTAGTTTACCAGGACTCCCACCTGTGTGTGTAACGGAGAGAGTTTGGGCTGGACTTTGTCTACAGGAATGTGTCATCTCTAAATCAAAATGAGTGACATTGATCAGGATATGGATAACACTTCCCCTCCCTTACAGGTAAGATCTACCTGGTTACCATAACAACGGGGACGCTAAGGGACAACGCTCTTCCGCTATGATAATGTTTTACAAATTATAGGTTATTGTTTGTGGTTCGTATATAGTTCGATATATGTGGAGTGTTATTTACTGGACTGTCATATCGGGGCCGTGTTTACGCTTGTGTTTATGTGTCGTGGATTATGCGTTCCCTGGAAGCGGCGATCTAATACACTACTGACCGACTTAACCACTCAATTCCGAGACACGTTGAAAGAGATTAGCTTACTTACGGGGTGGTTATAATTCAACAAGCCGTTTAAGCTTTATGTGACGTGGAAGGAAAATATATTCAACGATATACGTGACATAGCATTGCTTGGGGACCGACTTGACCAACTGTCATTTACATCACGCGTTTTGTTGATATCACACAGTCTTTTGTATCTTTCATATATCTACTTATTTTCATGTACAATTTTAGTGAAAATGGTCTGTTGATGTTTATTATTATCACAAAAATGTTGATTCAGTGGAGATCATTTGGTACCTACCATTTTATATCCTGGTGTGTCTGCTTCAAGACAAAAACACGGAGTAGCCAAACCTGAGCCTCGATCTGCCCCTGGATCTGATCTGTCTGGATACAAGGACATATTAAAGCACCGGTCACACTAATATTCACATACTTATTACCTTTTTAGTACCTGAACGAATGTTGTTGTACGTCGCAATCAGCAATGATCCACTTATAGGCGCTGACCTGTACATCATCGAGTGCTAACCGTGCAGTCCGGTGGTTGATAGCATGAATAACCTCCACGCCGTCCGAGCACGATAACTCAAAATCAGTAAGATCAGACATGGTAATCCCCGATCCCCACTTCATGACAAGGTGCGGGGACCATCTTTGCCATGGGAATACCATTGTTGGAATTATATCAAATAAACTCAACCACTATGTTTATATCTCAATTAGGAGTGAAACTTGAATGATATGATACCTCGAAACCAATTTGAAACCGAATTCGCCAGTGCCAATGCCAAATACAACATTCAACATTCTACATAACTACCCGTGAAGGTCCGCATTAGAATAGACCTTCAGCGACCCATGCTTGTGGTAAGAAGCGACTAACGCGATCGGGTGGTCAGGCTCGCTGACTTCGAGTCTGGACCATACAATCCAGTGATTGACATCATGAGCATCGATCCACGCAATTGGGATACGATGACATGCATCAACCAAGACAGCGACCTTGATCACCCGATCCCTTTAGACGCCTTTTTGCTGAAGACCTATTTTTCCCCGGATCTTTACGGGTCCACTCGTTTATTTACAGAGCACCGGCCGTCATATAGCTGGAATGGTGCTGAGTGCGGCGTTAAACAAACAAACAAACAAACAAACATTCCATGCACATAACATACATCACTACATTAACAATTCAAGCACATCAATCACAAACATGACAGCTGTCAGCGCACAATACTGGTCGCGTGGACATGTAACGCTCTACCAACTACATGTATATGAAGTCCCAGAGCGTGTATATTCATTATCAAACACGTACATGGTATTATCATCTATCAACAGCCGAGTATAGGGGTAAAGTTCAGACATAAGCGCAGGGCCTCCAATAAGCTTCTGCTAATGATTTCTCCCAGTGTACATTTGAATATCAAGGCAGTTTGAACTTTATTAGTACTCCCAAATCTCTCGGGTACGAAAGGAAAAGGCCAGATATTCGCCGGATATTTTAGTAAAGTGAATTTAATAAGTGACCTGGGGTCGTCCCACACAGTGCTCTTAGCAAGAGGACGATTGTAACATCCATACATTAACATGGGCTTAAGATAGTGCAGCGGTAAGACACCCATACATTAACACGGGCTTAAGATTGTGCAGCGTTAAGACACACATACATTTACACGGGCTTAAGATAGTTCAGCGTTAAGACACCCATACATTAACACGGGCTTAAGATAGGGCAGCGTTAAGACACACATACATTAACATAGACTTAAGATTGTGCAGCGTACACACATACATTAACATGGACTTAAGATTGTGCAGCGTTAAGACACGCATACATTAACATAGACTTAAGATTGTGCAGCATTAAGACACCTGTACATTAACATTGATACCGGGTAAGAATATATGTCTCCAGCAAACGATACTTGTCATAAGAGGCGACTAAATGGATCTGGTGGTCAGGTGACTTGGTTGGCATGTCATGTCGTCGTATCCCAACTACCTTGATCGATGTTCATGATGTCAGTCACTGGATTTTCGGAAATATTAGCGGAAATATTGCGGCGTTAAACAACAAACAAAAGCTCTGTGAACAGGACCCTTGCTCTTACTTGGGGAAATACGGCAAGCACAGTGCAGTGAAAGACATGTTGGCTTGACGCCGTCACGGCAACCTTTCAAACACACATGCCAATCCCCACAGAGAGAAGTTTAACAAAAGCGTTTTGAGCAAAACTGAAATTGGTTTTACAATTTAAACGTGGCAAGGGTCACGTAAACAGACAACCCTATCTTACTTGTCTATTTTGCATGTTGTTTATGGCGTCAGGTGAGGTGCTCTATACCACCCAAATAATCCTTTATGTATATTCCATGCTGCTTTGTAGTTATACGGCAGTGCGTGTTGCTTGATCTGTTTCATTCAGTGTGTTGGTCTATGTAGGTCTGTCTACAGCATGTGTATACGAGGGGGCTGTGATTGTACAATAGGGAAGAACTTGAAACGGTCTGGTTTAATGGAGTAGGACCGTGAGGCTTGAAAAAACTTAACGCCTACTGCACATACAGTTATATTAACGGCCATGGTCATACATAGTCTGTTGAAACCTGTTTTTAAGCGTAGTAATCGATAGTGATATGTTTACTTGGCGAAAGCTATCGTTGTTTCGACGATCTGCTTAATGTTGTTTTTTATCTTTCTAAACTTTAATGTAAGATTCTACTTTATATGTGTGTCCTCTTGGTTTTGCACCTCTGTGAATACCTTCCGCGTCCAACATAACAGTTAAAAGGGGGAAAAAGGCTCTTAGACCCCCTTCACAACTGATGCACATCACTGTCGTATGACAAATAATAAAGGCGTCACAATTAGCTGTACAGAGACATAATTCCCGGTTCGACCCCATGATGTTTCTAATTTTGTCAGCACTATTCCCGTGCTTGTGGGTTTCACCAAACAGGTAAACGTCTAAGACCTGAATAACTTCGGACTTTGTTCCCACAACAAGCGGACAAAAACGAACTAAAACGACAAGTTCCGAATGTAATACATAAGACCGCGCTATTATATTGTTCTGGGTATTTCATACACCTTGTCGTTTCTAAGCGCCATGGCATCTGCACCCAAAAGGGAGAGTCATCGAAAGACTATTTACTGTTCTGTGTGGGTTTTGCTTTACAAATCGAAATTTCGAATAGAGGTAGTAAAGAAGCTGGCAAGGTTCGCTCAAGGTTAACGTGACGCACCCTCCCGCACTCAGATCTCCACGCAGAGAAGTATCGTATCGGGGTAAGATATCCGAGTTTTATGTTGTTGAGTAGATGGAGAGTGACCGTTTGATGAATATATGTGGAGGGACCGAAAAAAACGCGGTTAATGTTTGATAGATGTATGTGGAAGAGCCAATGGTTGAAGGAAAGAAGTGGAATAGTCAATAGTTTCGACGACAATGCTATCTATATCTAAATATGGTCGTTAAAGGTTCTACTCTCCAGTTTGGTGCCTTTTTCAGCTTAGGCCTGTTATCTCTGGGTGTCTCTAGTATGATTTGTAGATTAATCTTCAAATGAAGTTTGTGCTGGCGTATTTACAAACTGTTTAATATTTCAAGACCTGAATGAAACTTGCTGTAATTGTCATTTTGCCCTGGCGTAGTCCCTCTTAAACATAGGGTTGTGCAAAGATGATATCGTCTTCCCTGCTTCCGGCGTAACAGCTTGGCCTTGTTCCACAAAGTATAGGGACGGCGGCCGCTTTACGGGCCCTTGGACCCAGGTTGTGGAAAATGTATCTGAATTCATTTCCGTAAAGCGATCTTAGCACTACTGTCGTATTGCTCCCTGTGTCTTTAACCTTGATTTACGACTGTCGCAGAACTTTCTGAAGATTGATCTGTTACTGGGATGGCTAGGTGAGCGAATGTTCTTGTTGTCTGAATTAATATAATGAAGTATAGACCAGGCAAACCAGTGACCGTGGATATTCTGGGTAAGAATATAGATCCCCAGCAACCTATGCGACTAAAACGGGTGGGTAGTCAGATCGGGTGGTCCGCCGGCTCGCTGACGTGGTTGATTGTGTCATCATATCCCAAGTACGTAGGTAGCTGTTTGTAATGCCAATCACTTTATTGTCTTGTCCAGATTCGTTGACTTACACGCACCGTCATGTAGCTGAGTGGCGATGAACAACAAACCAACATACATGTAGGAACAGGGTAGGAATGCCGAGCCACTCATCCAGCCATGCTTCTGGCCGTGTATATCATGCTATCTGTCACACGCTTCAAACTCGAGAATGATAAGCCGCACACTTTCCTCTCCAGAGGTGAGAGAAGTGTGTTTATGGCTACCTGTACTTGGCCTGTTTAGGATCAGGGGCGGTCGGGTAGCCTAGTGGTTAAAGCGTTCGCTCATCACGCCGAAGACCCGGGTTCGATTCCTGACATGGATACAATGTGTGAAGCCAAGTTCTGGTGTCCCCCGCCGTGATATTGCTGGAATATTGATACAAGCGGCTTAAAAACCACACTCACCCATTCATTTGGTAAGCGAACTCACCTTTATAGCCGGCTTTAACGTGCTTAGATTGCATGCTGGTTCACTGTGCACGAAACAGTTAAATTTAGCCACAAGTATTTGCAATCGACGAACCATTGAAATGAATTTAGCCAGACGGCAATTAAATCCTTTCGTTGATTAAATCCTATGATATATGCATAACCTGTTACAGAAAATCATTGTCAATTACACACACCCA